GACAATGGCTTGCGCGGATCCCGCGTTCTCGGCATTGCTGTTACGGGAGCGCTATGACAACTAAAAAACAGAAAACATAAAGTGCGAACCTTGAAGTAATATCACAAATAATAAATAAAACAATTATTTCATGTACAACATCTAGACATAAACGCACTTCGATCGTGCAGAAAAACCATATTAAAAACAGTGTGTTTCGAAAAAGAAAAACTGCTGACGGTATTCTTTCATACCGATTCTTCCGAGGTACGGTGGAAAATCTTCTTATTTGACTATGTTTTGAAATTAACTGCATAAACACTTGTATTAAATATTAATTTTGGCAATACTAAGAACTGAAAACTGAAAAAGAACTTAAATAGTTATTATAATAAAATAATAGGGCATATGAAGAATGCCTAGAATCAGTGAATCACCATCCTTCCCGTGCTGAGACAAAAACGTTTGTAGGTGATTTTGGATATTTTCCTAACTTTCTCCAAATTCGTTGCTTTCATCATAAAGATACGCACTATGTGACGGCCATTCAGCGCCACAATGGTGGCAAATAAAAATATTTTCCGAATTTTCTTCCAAAGTTTCTTCTCCAATGAAACCGTTATCCTGCGTTTCGCTAACGTGGGAATTAATGTTAAGAATTTCGTTCATTTTTTCTAGTAGATCATCTACCTTCTTTGTCCTTTCATCTGAGTGCTCATTTTGTTTCCGTGCTTCATTAGCAAACGGGAGAGTCAGCAATACTGCTGACCTTTGACTTTCTTGATCCTTTTCTTTCACAGGGTATAATTCTTCAGCTATCTCCAATATATCTTTAGGTGTTTTCTTTCCCATAACACGCAACTGCATAGCAGCTTGTCGATCTCTCATTCCTTTTAAAATAAAATAACCTATTTCTGTTTGCTTCATGTTAGGATCCGCATGTTTGCATAGATCCACGATTGAAAAGTAGTATGTCCGAAAATCTTCTTCGTTTCCTTGTTTTCGAGAGATCAGTGTATCGATAGCCTTTTCCGGCGTTCCGAGTTTTCCAAATGTTTTTTGAAATTCCCTTTCTAAGGTGTTCCAATCAACGCCTGCCGCCAGAGGGCGATTTTTTATCCACTTACGCGCTGTTCCTGCTAACACTTCCGAAAATCGTCTGGCCTTAGTAGCATCATCTCAAGAATATGATTCTGCGCAACGCAAATACGATTCCAACCAGGTTTCTGCATCTTCGTGCGGTGCTGCCGAATATGGTGGTGGCAGTTTGACCTTCGGGCCTTCCGCCATTCTGCTTTCTTGTATATTGTCTCGGTTTTCGTTTACTTCTACTTTGTGTTCCACTATTTCCACGCTGGGTTTCTCTTGTGCTAATTCCACGGTCGACACTTTGATTGCCGTTTGCCTAGACTGACGTTCTATGTTTTGGTCTTCTGTAAAGCAGTACTCCGCCTTTCCTCCTCTACTTTAAGTATCCTCCTCTTCAAATGAGTTGCCGATTTCTAGTTTTGGTTGCTTGTCCAGGGGCTTTTCCTCCTGACTAGTGTTTGGTGAAAGCTGGGGAGTTTTCTGTCTATCAGCAGGTCTTTTCACATCAAGAATATTTTTTCTCCGTAACCAAAATGCTGCCGACTGGTGTTTGATTTGAAATACAACAAGTTTCCAGATTTTACCGAACAGCTGTTCGTTATATATTAAAGTTAAGATTAATAACCAAGAATCGTGTTGCCAATAACTTGCGCGCTTCCAACGTTGAAATATAAAGGTGACTTTGATAATAAAACGGGAATTTTACATGAATTCCTTTTCCTTTTATAAGCGCTTCTATTAGTAACTAATAAAATTTCTGCAGTCAATATACCCGATAAATGTATACGTCTAGGCTGAGTTTAGCAACAGTTCACAAAAATGCTTCGCTAGAATTCCAGCAATCACGTCTTCCGCCTGGATTTTGCGGTCACACTATGCAACTATTCTTTGCGCTGTTTCTGCTTGCGTTGTTAGATACGAGTATGATCGTTAGCTACGAAATACTAGTACTGTACTACAGTAGTTATCCAGTACTGGCTTATTTGTAGCTCACACGTTATCAGTGAGCGGATATGGTTAGGAATGAGTCATGCGAGAAAGAGTCGGTTGTTGACCCACACAAAAGATTCTTACGCACAATTAACGGACAGTATTACTACAGTATACATAGAAATCACACATTATACGTACACGTATCTTCGGCTCATTTGTGCTGATAATAAAGATCTCAAAAAACGCACATTGGCTTGGTGAAAGTAATACCAACTAGTACACAGCTACGAGTATTTCCAAAACGAAAAATAAATAAAAACTTTTAATTAGTGAAAATTCCAATAAATAATGCTGTATTCAACGGTGCGACGGACACATAACTGTAATCAACGGTGCAACGGACACATAACCTCTTCTCACTTACGGGCGCAATAAAAATCTGCACAGCTGTCTGTATATACTGTGGTGTTATTATGGACCAGATAACAACGACAACAGTTCTACCTGTGCTGTGCGCGACTGTCTGTATTGCAAGTTACCTGTGGTCAGCAGGTGCACTAACAAATATCTGTGTCGCTGTGGGCTAAATAATCCTCGGTACCGGAATCAAAATCCAAAATTAAATATGTTCCAAATAATTCAACGCGCGCAATTGTATCAAAATCTCTCCAGGTCACAAATTATTAGCATAATCTCACAATGTGATGCACTTACAAGTCTTCCTTCACGCCATTTGTCGCAGTATAGAGTTCTCCTGTAAGCGCACCTGTGCTACACCTGTACAGGTCGACGATGACCTTTACGTGTTACCTATGTCTCCCTATAACGATTAGGCAACGCACCCGTATGTTAGTGACCTTTATTCAATATAACACTATGCCCACAATAACAATGCTAATGCTAGGTAATCCAGGTGTAGGCTGGTAGTCGAGTGGTAGACTGCTGGTGGACTGCTGTCGGACTACTGTCTGGTACGGTGTGGAGGGGTGCTTTATATATGGTCCTGGTCCGGATGGGCTCGGCTGCCATGGGTGGGGCTGGTGTGGCGACAAGCCAATGACAGAGTGCATGACGGCATGATGATGTAATATGCGGTCAGCGTGATGCCATATGACCGCGCAGGAATGTGCAGGGCATACCTGCACGGGCTTCCGGTGACTAATGGTCATGCGGTGCGACTAGTGACGATGTCGTCACATCGGAAACGGCAAGCGGTGCTCGGTGATTGATGAAGATCTGAATCTCGTTGCGACCGGCAGGAAGCTTGATGAAATCGAGATCTTTCGGATAGGACTTACTTTGATGAAGGCGGAGAAGTTTGTCCAGGTTGGTGAAGCCAGCTTCCTCCAAATCAAGCAGGGTGGCTGGAGCCAGGCCGCATACGGTAATCAGCTCGGCTAATGGTCCGACGGCAGCCATTCCTGCTGGAGGTCCAACAGGATGGTCAATTGGTGCGGTGGCGCCGTTGGCTTCCACAGCGCCTTCCATGCGTGATGGCGGGATTTCGTTGTGGTTATACAAACGTGCCAACAAGACTTTCCTGACGCCGGTATCATCCAGATCAGCATCACGGCATGCCTGCTTGAGCTGTGGAACCTTCAACTTCTTCAGTTCGTTCTTCGAGACCATTATGAAGACCGTTGGCGGTTATTATTAAAAAGGTCACAGAACGTTCTAAAGGCTAACGATGTAAAAGCTAAGTATCTGCTAGTAGCAGGCTAATTTGCTAAGTTGCTAACAAAAATTTTGCTAACTGCGAAGGTAGGAGCAATGATTGTGCACTGTGTGCAGTGAGTTGCTTATATACCTCATCCTGACACTGACCGCTGGCCAATCTCCAAGCGGGCGGGCTTAGGTTGCGCCGCTAGCCAATAATGGACAGATTCCCTTTCCCGGGGAATCTTGTCTCTTTAGCCATTGTCTTGTGTGCCAGTGCATGGGTCTAATAATGCTTACAATTCTGAGCTGTGTTGTATCATATGCCTTCTGTAGCGGAGTTTGGTAATGAGCGTGTGTTGTGTTCGTCCAGGTTTAAATTCCCATGCTGTGTATGCAAAACACAGCAGGTTAATGGGTTACCTGCTACCGAGATGAAACTATTAAACTATTAAACTAAACCTTGATATTGTTATCGAGCCATGGAAATAAAGTGCACCTAGCCACTAAAAGTGTTTGTCCATAATTGTTAGTCTATATATATGTGTGTTACTTCGGGCTGATGCGGATGGAATCGGTTTCGGAAAGCATAAAAATTGCTGGTCGGATTCTGATTTTAAAGCAAATGCTTTTTGCTCAAGTCTACAGAGTACTCGTTAACGCTTTCGAATTAAGCCGACATCTTCCGGTGGCTTTTTTTCACTTGGACTTGCAGCCTTGCACTGTCCACACGTGGTGCAACATAACGCGCGACGCAAAAACGTTTGCCGACCAGAAGTTAAATAACACCCTTTTCTTTGTTGCGTTAAGTTCAGTTCAATGTTTCGATATAAAACTTCACGTCTATAATTGCCTACTGGTTCGACAATAAAGTGTGTTCTATTTACTGGCGATAGCGATAAGGTCAAGGATTTAGATACCAAATAACAGGTCAGTCAACAACCTTAGCACCGCTTGTGCCGCGCAGTCAGCGTATACTGCGCGCCGCAAGGTCATGACAATACCTAAGCCTTTGGGAATCAAAAATTTCCGCGCCAACCGATGCGCGAGTTGCCTGCAAGCGGTTTGTAGTTTCAGCTGAATTTAGAATGTCCCGACAATTCTGTAGTACATCGTACGATGACATGCAGCGCACAAACATTATGGCTATATCGATTATTTTTATGGGAAACATGTTCTGCTGATGGTAGTGGTGGTAAATGATTAACGACTGCAATCAAAAGCTACAGAGTTTACTACTGCAACACTTCCCGGCAAACAATAAAGTGTGAAATGCGTTATAGTCAGTTAGTTATTGCCTTCTCGTTGATCAGTTAATTACGTAGTAATGACAAGAAAATTAGCAAAACGAAAACGCAGTTTAATTATATCAAACGTGGAATTTCTTCCTGTAGAACAAGTTTTATGAGCCTGTTATACGAGTATGAGCAGTTTTACGGACAGTCATGAAGTAAACCACAATATCAAAGGTCTAAACTTGTCCCATGATATGCAGTACTCGTACTACATGGAGCAGTGGGCATCGTGCATCTGCTGATAACCGTCCTGAAGCACCTCCACCGCTTCCCGTCCGCATTTCTCCGTAAGCTGCGGCTTGGCCGCACCATTCACTGTGGTGGTAAAACGGCGCAGATATCTACAAGGACAACACACGCGTTGAAATACACAAAAGGTGGCAGTGGGTTCGAACAAAAACGCACTTGTTGGCGCAGTATGCGCTAAGACAGCGGCTTCTGCTTTTTACGTTTATAATATTGCCGAATAATGGCGATAATGCGACGTGATATCACCTACTGGCAGACATTATGACGGGCGCTAGTGGCATTGTGTGAAGATAACGTCAGATCTCTCTCCACCCCTAACAGCTCCATGAACAAGCCAGAGCGTCCCGCGCAGTGCTCGTGAGCGCGCAACAATCGCAGGGTATTGACAGGCAGCTGACATGTCATGGCCACGACACTGGTCCTCTCCGCAGCGTACCAGAAATCGTATCGTGTGAAACGCTGGAGGAACGCCGGATCGTCCGCACAGCGGACCGGCAGATTAAATAGGCAGTAGGCGGAGTTGTTTGCAGCACTATAACATCGCAACTCTTTTAGTGAGAAGTGTGCTGAGTGCATCAACGAAAAGCAGAGTAATAATGAAGTTATTATTAATAACTTGATCCCTATTAATAAATGATGGCTTAATAACTTGTTAGTTGACTGCTTTACCGGCAATAATCGTGGGCCAACTGCTGAGTGGCAGTGACATCCGCATCCGTTACTGGCCACGATACGGACTGCACTGCGGCGCTATGGTTCGCCATCAGTTCGCGGCATTCTTGCATCAGGTCATCACTGCACGATTCACTCCGTACTGCACCAAACAACAGCGACAATGTTACCAGTTGCAGAAAATGCAGAATGAAGGCCATTTTTGCTAATCTGCTGCGAAAACGATGCCACGAAATTACAGATTTTTCTGCAGCACGGTGCCAGTGTAAATGATGGTGGGGTGCTGTTTCTGCGCCAATGTTTCTAGAGATGCTATCGAAATGCGTATCTCTGCAACGCGCTAGAGGGACTTTGCAATGCACTGCGGTGTAAAACGGACCGGGTGTTGTAAAATGTAGCATTGCACTTTGGAACTTTGGAATGCTCAATGCTTCAAGTTTTCCGGTATCTATCAGCGTGGTCTGCTGCTGACAGCAACCAGGAGGTACGGAGTTCAATCCCCACTATGGTCGAATATTTTGCACAAATCTGTCGTGTAATTAAACATTTGGCTATGGCTATTTTGCCGCAGTATAACAATAGGGGTCTGAATAGCCCTTAGGCTATTTTGCCGCACACTGCGCCGGAATAGCCAGTTGGCTATGGTGGGCGAAATAGCTTGTTGGCTATTTTACCGCACACTGCGTTAAAACAGCTCATTAGCTATTTTGCCGCACTATGGACGGGAACAGGATAATTATAATAAGGGACACTCGATAATAAGGGGCAACTCTACCATTCCCTTAAACTGCCCGCACTAGATATCTGTTCCTTCGACATCAGAGGCTAACAACTAGTGCGGGCAACTTTTTTGGATTCGCTATCTCTTGAAAAAAGTGTAACGAGCGTGCGAGTTACGCTACGAGTTTTGATATTCATGCGAGTAAAAAAGTATTTTGGGTTATACCGCAAGTTACGTTAGCATAGACGAGAAAAGATCCATTGTCGCCTTCGCCTCATGTGCACCTACGATCGAAAGTCCATTCCATTGGACTGGAAAGTAATGTTGGTGATATTTGAAATTTAAAAAATGGTAAGAAATATTTTTTATATATCCGAGATTTTATCAAAATAATTTTGTCCGCCATAACGAACTGACACCAGACAGATATTAGTCATTCATTGCGACATTTGCGTAGTACGCGTCTGTAATCGTCCGACGACCGGCGGTCGTCTCAGAGAGACGACCGCCGGTCATTTTGGACGGTTACACACGTGTGTAGCCATCTGACACTTTAGTCGGACCGCACTGAACAAAACGGGCGGAACACCCTCCGGACACGCATGGACAGCAGGCTGAAGAAGAGCGAGCATCACACACGCCCACTCGGCAGCCCGGCGTCCCGGTAGACACTTGCGGACCAAACCGAGCCGGTGAACGCACAATCCGGAGAACGGGTAGCGGAAACCGCAGTGGATGGATGGTAACCCGGCACGCAGCCAGATCACCCGGCCCGGATGGAGCGGACCAGTTTACACCAACGGTCATTCAGCAGAGTTCGACCGAGAGCTCAGTCGACCGCTTGACGGGCAAGTCTACCATTTTGTCGCCGGTCGATACTGTTCGAGCCGGAATTGTTCCAGTGCCTCTACCGTAGTGCACGGCAGCCCGGAATCGACACCGAAGGCGGACAGAACTCGACCCGAACGAACCGGTATTTCAGACGCCGGAAGGACAGCAGTTCTAGAAACTTAGCGGGCCGCCGAACTAGATCACCGATGGCACAATAAACGGAAGGCAAAGAAGGCAACCTTGGCGGAAAAGGATGCGACCTCTATGAAAGCAGAGAATGCGGACATGGCAGAAGTCACCGACCGACTCCGAAAATGGGCGGACACTTTCGCGACCGAGAGCGTCTACCTTAGGCAGGAGTGCAGCAAAGAACCGAAGCGCGTTAGAGATGCTACATCGACGGCAACAAAAGAAAGGACACGTACAAGGAAAAGCTAAAAAAATCTCTGTTCGTTAACCGAGTACATTGTATGAACCGTCAAAGCTCCGAAAGAGCAGACGAATGTCATTTTGAAATACGTCAACCTACAACAGGAACTGGGAACACCGATACACTTGATGGAGCAGCTTGAGACACGAGTGGCCGGCTCGGAGACGAATATGACGACAGCCCGGTGCCGCGAAGTGCTACTCCGCGGTTGCTTGGTTCGATGGGATTGACCGACACGACACCCCGGACTACTGGTGCGGCGAAACGGACAAACCCAACGAAGCCGGACGGACAGTCAAAACAGTCCGGAACGGAACAGATAGGTAGCTTCAAGATCGAACACCGCAGTCGCACGAACCCATCCTGACCGATGGATCTAACCGGCGGAAAGAACAGCCTGACACGAGAAACCTGATCGACGTGGTGGACAATTGTGGCACATCCGACAGGATGAACTTTCGATACCAGCCCGGCACGGCGCATGCCGGATTTTCGGTGGTTTGCTGCCAAACCCGGTCGGTCGCGTCCATACCGCGATTCTTCTTCCGTCAGTTACTCCGGAGCCGTATTATTGGAGTCTCATCGAGGCCGGGCTTGTCGGGAGCAGGGATCATCCTCGATGTTGGTCGTCGTAGTCGTGGTCGCCGTTGTCCGGCTGTCACTTTCTGACGGGTTTTGCTGACGTCGGTCCTGGGTCCGATGTCTTGTTCGCGCCAACGTGGGCTGCCGCACCGTCCATTCTGGTCGGCAGGGTTAATCCTCCGGTTGTCGTGTGACCGCGGCTGACCATTGTTCTCCGCCAGCAGACAAATGTGCCGGGCGAGGCTGCGCTCCGACTTAGACGGGTTCCTGTCCATGCTGCACTAAGCCCGTATGCAATACGGCCTGCTGATACATTCGGCCGACTAACTGTCCAAATTTCATCCTCCAGTATTGCATCATTGCCGGACAGCTGTCCGGGCGAGAATCGTCGGGACGCGAAACGCGCTGGACGACGGGATGACCAGGCCGATGCCGACCGAGACCAACGACACGACCGGGAAGAGAAACCGAGAGGCCGGCTGTGCCGTTCCGTACCCGGCTGTGCCGTTCCGTTCCCGGCTGTGCCGTTCCGTTCCCGGCTGTGCCGTTCCGTTCCCGGCTGTGCCGTTCCCGATTTATAGGAAGGCCGGTATCGCAGCGCAGCGAGTATCCACCGGCTGTTTTCCCGTACCCCCCAGGTATCCTTTCCAAAATGTGGTGACCGGGCTGACGTAGATTGACGGGTGAATCTGTCCGACGGTTTTACGTGCAGAACGGCCAACTGGATGTAGCTGACATCAGCAAACCGGAAGCAGTCTTTTCCGGCTTCGCCCTCGAGTGATACGAGAACCACTCGACCCTCGAGCGTGAAGAAAGCTTTCACGTCAATGAATGACTGGATAGGTTTAGCGACCGATTTGCAAAATGTAAGCAGGTTAACGTTACACCGGAGATGAACAACCACATCTACCGCTGGGGGCAAGAAAAGCCGGAACAATGCTTCGAAATCATGATGGACTTAAAATCTCGTGGCGGTCTATCAGAACAGCTGGCAGAACAGCACGAAATTGAGCAGCATGAAAATGCCCATCTGGAGCGATCTGCACCGGGCCTGATGGTTGTAGCGCTGTATTTTATGGTTTCACCCGAGCAAAACCCGTATGTTCGTTTACAGAGTGCCTGTAGCTAGCAAGTTCATAAGAATCTGCTAGCTACATGCAATCTGACCAAAACAAACAAAACTACAACAAAGTCACGTGACAAATTACGTGACGCTCTTTCGGAACAGATTACTTACGAGTACCGTAACCGAACAGAAATTACTTTGGGACTTGGACACTAGGATGCCGGAAAATACGGCGGACTTCCAGGAGCATATCCGGCATTTCACCGTGCGGTGTGCGGACTGTGGAAGCCATCGGCCGAATGCGCCAGCGGCCCAAGACTAAAGGCGGGCTATGTGGGCGGGCGGGAGGACTATGTGGGGAAGCGGGCTATGTATTTATATGTGCGTCCGCATAAGGCTTGAGACAGAAAACAGAATTTCCCTGCTTTCGATAACTAAGTTTATCGTGAACAACAATATCAATAATTTCAACCTTTTTCTCTAAAATCAAATCATTACGCTTTCGTCTGCCCATGATGATTGATGGAAAATTCTTTTACGGTATTTGACTCACAAACTGACGAATAACTGAACTCTGAAAAGCGGATGCTTCGTTGTAGTTTTGTTTGTTTTGGTCTGATTGTATGTAGTCAGCAGGTTCTTATGAACCTCCTGGCTACAGGTGAACCTATGGGTTTTGCTCGGGTAAACCAGAAAATACAGCGCTACAACCATCAGGCTCGGTGCAGATCGCTCCAGATAGGGATTTTCGTGCTGCTTGTGTGCTCCAGTTTATTGATTTCTCAATTAAGCTGTTTACAATCGTTAGCCTCTGTGTTGTGCTGCCGATGACAGTACTGAAAGCCAGACTAAAACCGTCGACGCATGGTTTTGAAAATACGTTTAATCTGACTAACGGCTAGGAAAACATAAACATAAGAAAAACTAACAATACTCCCTCGGAAATTGGAATTTAACTCAAGAAATTTAAGAATTACATAAGAAGACCAATGAAAAGTGCATCTTTTGAAAGGCGAAGGGGAATGCCTACCACCGGAAGGCGAAGTCACTCACACATAGCCTCGATTTTGAGTTGGAGTGTCTCGTTACGCTGTAACGCTCTGTAAGTGTCACGACGTGGAGCGTCGTGCTCTTTAATAACTACTCAACTAAATACGTAAACTAACAAATGTAACAAGGAATCAATACAACATTGCAATGGCACATGTTGCCATGCATCACAGTAAGGTTCTTTTTGAAGTCAGTAACGCTGTTTTACAGAAATCCCGGCACTTTAAATACTGTACAGAGCTCATTAAAAGTGCGCGGCGAAACGGGGTGCAATAATGGTGTGGCAAAATAGCCAACTGGCTATTTAGCCGCAAACACTGCGTCAAAATAGCCACTTCGTAAACATTTCACTCATGTACAGTATCTCGCGTGCAAACAGGCGATGGCAATCAGGTTATCGATTTATTCTACAAACCAATTAGTTACGTAATAAACAGACTACCACTTGCGCCGCGCTGTCAGCGTATGACTAATGCACACAAAGTCAGCTGATGGGAATGCCAAAGCCGCCGGGAATTCAAAAGTTCAGCGTCGACCGTATGTCGACTTTGTGCGTCTTGCAGCTTTAACTAAACACAGCACTTCTCAAATCGTTGAAGAACAAGGTCATCATAATCCTCATGACAGGAACAGAAGGTATAATGGTATAATATGGGAGTATAATTTATAATATTAAGTGTTGTTGCGGACTTTCCACTACATTACGCAATCTACCGGAAACCACCGCACACGCCTAAATTTGCACATATCTCCCACATGTTCACCCTCACAACAGCCAAACAGCCGAAATTAGACCGATGATATCAGAAGACGCGCTTGCAGCTAATTGCAACTGCAACAAATAAATGCCGACTCTGGTTATTGTCTTGATACTGTGTTGCTGTATTGTACAGCACAGTCAACACCCGCGCGTTTTCCTTGTTCGTGCCACGCACAGTAATTACACAACACTTCCGGTAGCAAAATAATACGGATATATTGAATGAGTCGCCAATAATAGCATATCAAGCTTTCGTAGCTGGTCCATAGTCATACAGTGTGCAGCGATTAATAGTGAGGCTTTCTGGAGAATCCTCATATACTGAAAGGTATAATTGCTGGTTTCTACATTAAAAGCGTGCGCAGATGGTCGAATCGACAGCGTTAAACGGAAGCGACAATAATATTCACATCCGCTGGATACAATTTGCTGATTATAGCACATAAAGCCCCAAGGTAATCTTAGCGAGTCAGCGACCGGCAGTCAAACGGTTTCCAATGGGATAAGCACACCGCGTATTGCATGCGACAGGCGCCGATTCCAGTGCGAACTCACCGTGCAAAACACAACTGTTTGTTGTCTCACTTTGCCGGAATATCAAGCAGAAAATGTGTCGGTTTCACGCTCGTTGGATTTTTACGGAGGTTCTGCTGCTCCTCATCAGCGGCCACGATCAGACCGATGACCTGGTTCCGGCCGCAACGTTGGAAGTGCGGGTGGTCAGTGTGCAGATGCTGGATCCCAGTGTAGCGTTGGGGCTGGTGTGGATCGGCGCCGCCGTGCATCTGGCAGTGCAGCGCGCCAACGAACAATACGCTCAACGGGGACTGCGCTTTGTGGTGCGCCCCGTCGATGGCATGTACAACCAGACTTGTCTGTCGGCGGCCGCTGAAGGGATTCCGCTTTTCACTAATTACTACTACCGGCACAATCTGGACCAACATACACCGGATACTTGCGATATCTTCTTCACTAACAGTAAGTCAACGCTGAATCTGTTGTGCGGGTAATGATAGACTGATAGTTACTTGTAAGTTTAATAGTTAACCACATGGAATACAGGTTTCGAACAAAATCCGCAGAAAGCAAATCTACCAATCCTGAAAACATGGCAAACGAGATGAGCAGACGTCTAAAAGACAGATCCCCCACATGTTACACAAACTAGGTCACTGGTTAGCGGTCGAAACGCAAAGCGTTGAATTAATAACCCCAGATCACATCGAGCGCAACAAGCAGGAAATCCAACTCCCAACTTCCACGTCCCATTCGCCAGTCCACAGATCTCGGAAGATTCACCAGCCAGGAGATTCGCGAAGATGGTCACAGACAGTGGAATGAAATGAGCGAGAAAGCAATGAAAATGCCAGGGTCCATCAGGGTTCCAGAATCCAGACCCACGGTTCCCAACTTCACCAGACACGAAGGTAGCCCACACGGAACGCCAAAGCACTGCACTAGCTAGGTCACTGGTTAATGGTCGAAACGCAGAGCGTTGAATTGCTAACCCCAGATCACATCGAGCACAGCGCCCAGAAATCCCCCGCAGTCCGCCCCTGTGGCCAGCTAAGTTCTCCCCGCGGCCCAAACTCCAGGCCCCGCAGGCCTCCATACAACAGACAGGGAAACAGTGCGACATCAGATCAACAGTCATGAGTAAAATCAGGAAGGAATAAGTATCAAGGAATGGAGAAATGTGCTGGAAGGCACGAGTAACGATGGGCTCGTGCCTCTTGGCGAACAGTTCCGCGAGATGGTTTGTCCCTGCCAATCTGGTTGGAACCAGAAATGGCAGGGCTTCTAATTTATTCAAAAAGGCTTACCAAAAATTACGTGAATCGCAAAGAAAAACAAGAGCTCTAGACAAATCTGTCTAGAGAAAAAAATCACACTTTAATAGAAATTGACTTGTTGTTTTAAAAATTAAGTTAAAATAAATGAAAGTTAAAATTAAACAGCTGACTCCATGGAATGGAGGCATTGTAAAGTCAGACATTAATATGGCTACGCAGTAGTAAATATATGTAGATGACCTGCATGAACAAATATTATAAGGTCAGTAATGCGCGTAAGAACATTAAGTACCAGGTATTAATTATGAAGTACATTACCTGTTTTATTCGAAATGCCATTGCATTGTGACATTAATTTCCTGTGCAGCGTGTGCAGACTACTTCCAGCAGCTGTGCTTATCCAGCGGTAAGAGGTTCCTATCCTGTTAGCCAACGTTAGCAGTCGGACAATACGTCGTTATACGTTCGTTGTGTTTTTAGCATGGAATGCCTTCTTTTTCAACAAGCAAGTCCAGAATTTGTCGTCCGCATGTACAGACGGTGAATAAAAATCGTTCTGCACTGTTTAGTGGCATCGCTTTGATGTTTTCCAGCCCCCCACGCTCGCTCCCATCGTACTCGTTGAACCTGGCCGGTAGCGAGGCGGGCGTAGCGCGCACCTTGTGGCATATTCTCAATTATTTCGGCTGGTCGCATGTGTCCTTCATCCTGGACACGCGTCCCAACACCATCTTCTACTCCAGCATCCTCAACGCCGCTAAGGCGCTGACTTTTCAAGATGGCCGCGCCAACAGCAACGCCACCATCGCCACCTATCCCGTCCAGAATAACGACAACGCCTCCATTGTAAATGCGTTGTTGCTTGCCCAGCAGAACAGTCGCAGTATGTCATACAAAATTCTTTGTCCACCCTCCGCAATAATTTTAATTGTTGTCGGGATAAAGGATTTGTGGTTGCAGTCTTCGTCCTGTATTCCTCTGCTTCTGTGGCCTACCTGATTATGGTAAGCACTATAAGCCGATTTTAACTGCCAGTTATGTGGCGTATGTGCAGCATTGCCGCTGCAGCGTTGTATACATGTTTGCGAAGGACGCATTTCTAATTAACAACGGTTGAAACTACTATTACCGTACATTGCACTCTTGCAGGATTTGGCCAGCCAACTCGGGATGACAAACGGAGAATATGTACGCATTGATCGCGTAGATTTGTGGTTAACTGACCCCAGTGTATAGCTCGGCTATTTTAATTCTTTGATTCTGACAGGTATTCTGTAATATTCAACCTGTGCAGAACAACTACTATGGAAAAGCCTCCTTTTTCAACAATCCCACACTGTTGGTCGGTTGAGTTATAACTTTATTTAATATGATGCAAAAAGCAGACCTTTAGACCGTAACAATAGTTCATTATTATCGACGTAATTATATTTTCGTGTTATGGAAAACGCTGTGGCTGCGTTAAGAACATTGCTACCAACGGAGGGTTAGATATTATTCTGTTTCTTGTTTTTTCTACGTATGACTTCTTTTCTTTATTAAATAAAAAGCACTGCCACCACGCTTTCGCTTTCGATATATATTTTTTCTTATCCGCGCGGAAATTATCAAGAGTACCCGCCGTGCGCCACCCCGTGTGATAAAACCTAGAAAAGGTCATTTGAGCTCGCGTTGCTGCAGATGATGAACTTGACGTGGAACCTGATCTTCATCACCTTTCACGAATCCGACGACACTGATTACGAGCGACGTCTGAACGGTGAATTGCGGCAGTTGGCCTTTGACCTGTATAACGTCACATATGAGCCAGGATTTCAGGTAAGATGCACCCACAGTTGCGCAGCACTCAGCTCACACACTGACCGCGATTACAACAATCCACCCTGCGAACACTGACGGGGCTGAACTGCAGCAGATCGATTGTACATATGCGCAAAGCTAACGTTTGGACAAGAAACCGTAATTGAGACGCAAAGTTGTCTCAAACGCTTGTAAAATGCGCGGAATAATTATAGTACACTGAATGGAGATTTGATTGCGTGCACCTTTGCAGCCACTAAGCAATTATCCGACGCGTATGGCCTACCGATCCATTGAACTGATCAGCAAAGTACTGGCCGACAATATGAGCAAATACCGGCAAATGTCTGTTGCGCAGCGCGCATCCTTCTGCGCCGGAGACCACCTGGCTTCGCTCTTCTTTAACAACACCTTCAAGCTACCTCATGCCGAGGTCAAAATTGACGCCACCGGGTTGTCCAGCATGGACGTCGACATCTGGATGTTTGATTCGCAGTCAAGGAATATGAGCGTAATTGCCGTCTTGGAGCGTTTTTCTTGTGCACCTAGTTGCGCTGCACACGAGGCAAATGGTGTTTATTTGCAGGTTTTGCGGTGTATCGCTCTGTCAGCGGCATCTTCGAGTTGAAAAAGAACACGTCGACGCTGGACTGGCCAACCGGCAGTCCACCGCTAGATATTCCCTTGTGCGGCTTCTCCGGAATGGAAGGGCCCTGTCGCAACAGCAGTATGTACTTGCCCCTTCTCAACGCTTTGTAGGCAGCTGGAATTGTCTTAACATCGGGAATTTCTGACAGCGCTAACCGGATCCGTTTTGAATGTCGCTCTGCCGGTGGCCATCGGCGTCGCCCTGGTGATCTTGGGTGCCACCTGTGTGGGACTATTTGGTGCCCGGTAAGTTAAATTCGTCATCTTGTTTATGCTGTTCCTACGCGCACTACCTCCAAAATTTAGAGGATAAGCAGGACAATCTAAATCCGATAACCTGACTGTTTGGTAAACAGAAAGAGAGCCCGGGCCAACACTCGATCGCGATACTGGTGGCTGATCAGCGAGAACGAGTTGGATGCAAGTCTGGTTATGGGCATGACCGAGATGACCAATCCGGTTTCATGGAGGAGGAGGACAGTCTGGTTAACGGCGTTCGATGTCCAAGGTCGGCCCAATCTGCCGCTTCTCACACAGCTTATTCCTGATACGACGGTTAGTATCCCGAAAAAGGTGGTCACACGCTTTGGAACGGATTTTTCAGTCTCTTCCAGACAACCGTTTCTGTTCTCACATGCACACGCTTCGTATGAATACAAAATCAGACAATCGTAGTCAGCAAATAATTAATTCAGAGCCTAAAATAGTGGAGTTTTAAAACTACACACTCCCCCCGGCGCCCCCCAAGGGGGGTGAGGGTATGGGTACAGAAATTTTTACTGAGTTTTTTTTGTATGTTAATAAATCATTTGACTATTGATGGTGAAGAAATCTTTTTCGGGCAAAGCGCAAGATGACGAGCCATGTTATTAGGAAAACGCTAGATTTGCAAAGTCATGCTTTTTGTTTTTACAGTTTTATGTGAAAAAAACAATACCAAAGTATGGACAGCTGCTCTAAACTACTCAAAATTACCCTAAATTCAAATTTTACGAATACCAGCCATGTATTTTGAACAGAGGAAGTGAGTTCATTCTTGACGTCTTTAACGTGCGGTGACCTCGATGTTGAAATTTTAGATGGAAACAAACTCCTTTTCGCGCGAAGCTGACGAACGATTTTCTCTTAGAAAGTCAAGAAATTCCATCAAAAATACAAAATATAATTTAAATTTTAATCTTTCAGACCCCTCTAAACTTTTCTCGATGGATTCCCAGTTTTTTAATCTTGCACATTTAGAAGTTTAAAAACGCCCAAAGCACATTTAAAACTACACAAAGTGTGTAATAATACACACTATTTTAGGCTATGATAATTATGTAACTTGAATTGCGTATAAAATGTTGCCTAATAGCATCCCAACGTCAATGCACTCCTGGGCGTGGTTATTCTGCCGCAACGAGCCTTCATTCTTGCGGATTACTGTAAACGCGGCTCCCTTCTAGCACTATTAGAAGCAATGAAACTGGATCAAGACTTTCAATTTGCCATGGCTCGTGACCTCGCCAAAGTATGGCACAGCGGCAAAGTTGACCTTTTAGGAAATCTTTTTTATATACTACATGGGAAATTTTCGCAGGGTCTTAACTACTTGCACAGTACCATCGGCCAACCGCACGGCTGTCTGTGCTCCGGTTGCTGCCTCATTGACGATCGATTCACGCTGCGCATCGGGCAGTTTGGCTTTCCGGCCATTAGCCACGCCCTCTCCAACGGCTCTGACACCCACGCTCCCACGAAAGAACTGTCTATTCCAGCGGACATTTACGCAATGGGACAGATCATTCTTTTGATCGTACACCAGTCGGTCACAAAAATACCTTCACAGCTGCCGCTTAAGGCGGCCGCGTCGGAGATAGACGATCAGAGCGAAGCAGGGGATTACGATGTCCAGCGGCATCTTACACTGTTGGCCTTCCGCTGTCTCCATACAAATACTACACTGCGCCCAACCGCCAAACAGCTGCTGTCCGCCATCGGGCGGCTGCGTGTTCCTGGTCAGCGTTCGGCGGGCAACATTGTCGACAGCATTATTCGCCGCTTTGAGGCGTACACACTGACGCTGGACGAAGCGGTGCGGGTCAAAAGCGAGGAGCTGCAGAATGAGCGGAAGAAGTGCGACGATCTGCTGAGCGAAATGCTTCCCAGGTCGATCTTCTTTGCACTGAATGTACCAAATTTCAGGGCAGAAAGAAAACGGCTGGTTTTCCGTAGATGCGTCGTGGATCAACTGCGCAATCGGCAGACGATGGTGGCGGAGTATTATTCCAGCGTTAGCGTCTTCTTCTCCGACCTCGACGGGTTCCTCGCGTGGGTCAGCCGCGTCCCGCCGGAAGAGGTCATCGGCGCGGTGACCTCAATGTTCAGCGCATTTGACGGGGCGATTCAGCATATGGACGTTTATAAAGTGGAAACTGTTCGAGACAGCTACATGGTTATACGAATGTTCCTTGAACACAGTTACACAAGAACGAGAAGAATGAATACTGACAGCAGATTACCATTGCAGACTGTCAGCGGAATTCCGGATCGTGGCGATAAGCAGCACGTAGCGGAGATCTGCCGAATGGCTGTAAAATTAATGAAAATCTTTGATGAAAACGGGCGTACGACCCACAGCGCCATGATGTCCGTGCCGGGACACGTGGTAACGGGCATTATGCATCCACAGTCCGAGCCGGTTGCATTAAGGCTGCGGTGTGGCATCCATTCAGGTGCGTTCACCCATGCGCAGATTTTGATCCGGAGAGTTGACTCTTTTTCCATGAAACAGAAAAACGCTTGATGCCGTTGCAGGTCCATGTGCCGCCGGAGTAATCGGAATGCGTGTCCCTCGATACTGCCTGTAGGTACAACGTACAACCGCACGTACAACCGCGAAAATCGTGCCTGTTGAAATGGTCCGCGGTCGAAATTAATTATAAATCTAACAAAACAGTGTGCAACAGAAAACGTCCAATGAGCACGAATAAATAGCCTTTGTAGTGTCAATATTGAATTAATAAAAAAGTACGGCGTAAGTAAACGAGAAGAGTTTATTTACCGAAATTAGCGTTAAAAGGAAGTGCTTACCTTTCTCGTGCACTAGCTATTAACGCCATTACCCAATAATCTTAGTATCTGCCTCGATTTGTGGGCGGCATTGCAGGTTCGGCGACACAGTGAACGTAGCAGCCCGAATGAACAGCCACGGCCAGGGCGGTCGCATCCATCTCAGCCAGGCCAGCCGCGATCTCCTGGTCGCCGGCGACCTTGACCGCCTCCGCTTTCGCCTGCAAGAGCGAGGATTGCTCTCCGTTAAGGTCAATGGTTAATTTAATTTATTCAAAAGTTAACTGTGTTGCCCTTCAAAGGTCAGCAGTGTTTGCTCCAAGCGGTCGCCAGATCTGTTAGCAACAAAACCTTTTTCACATACAGGGCAAAGGAGACATGCATACTTTCTGGCTTATGTACTGAACCGTGCCATCATTACTGCCAGGAGTTGGAGGATGGCCAAGAGCTAGTGCAGGATAATTTGCACCGAGTACGAAGCGCCAGCTGCTGAAACCGAACACCTTCATCAAAAGCACGTTGTATTTTCTGATTGTAATGGGATGAAACGCGTTTTGTGGGAACGGCATTTCGGTTTACTTCGGATAGATATTCTATCATATTTCATATTGCTGAGCGATAATAGCATACTGTTTCCCCCAACTAAATTCGGTTTTACCTAGCTGTGTAAAGTTAGCCTTTCCAGTTTGCACGTTTTAGTTTCAACGTTTTAAATTAATTTTAAAACTGCAGTTAACGAAGAAGGCTATGTGGCTTTTTGTTTTACCAATCGTTGCCACTCGTGGTACTGGGCGACGCTACGTTTTCTGCCTCGCCAGTCTTTCTCGTTCTCGTGCGATTTATTTTGACTTCGCTGTTTACACAACGCAGTCTATATGACTGCGAGACATATAGATATAGATATGTATTATATCTGTGCTCTTTGGCAACATGTAATTATACTTAAAGGTTAACCTTCTGCATAGTTCGTTAGCTGAGATTTCCTTTCAACAGCGGCATGAAAAAGCAGGCGAAGGAAATTTGCCGCTGTAGCTTTGGGCGCTTTACAGCAGCCTGATAGGCCCATGACCAGGTCGAATTTCGCGCAGAACTCGATACCCTGAAATTATCTGTGATTACATCAGCGTATCCACGTTCTAGGCATCGCTGTTTGGGGCCGATACGCGGTGCAACAGCAGAGCTTCTCGGATCGATATAGGATTTCAGTAGAAACCGTCAAAGGCTTTCCCAAGAGACACTTCAGGCACGCTTAACCGCATCCGTCAGTCAGTATACAGATAGATAATACGCTGCTTGGTCTGATGACGCGCGTTAATAGTTTTTACCGGCGGATTTAATAAATTAATAAATTACGCAAATGACATTTTCCGCTGTGTAAATGCCTAGCACGCAGGTAGTCTGTCTACATCCCGGCTACACCGTCATCGCAAAACAAGAGCCTGGTAAACACAGCTAATCACGGCAGGTGCACAAGTTGCTGGATTACACCGCCTCAGGCCAGGCAGCAGAGAGTGCAACCATGATTAGAAAATGAATTACTTTGCACTTGTATGGCATCGATGTCCAGACGCCGCTAGAACAGAAATGCATACACGCATGATGTGTTTTCTCGCTTGTCTAAATACGTCTACGCAATAATTATTATTATTATGGACTACCACTAATATGGCACTCATCACATTAAGGAGAAGCGAAATATTATCATGTACTAGTATTATCACAGCGGTGTACAGATATCTCGTGTGAAGGATATTCTGCGTTTTATACTACGGTGATAAAGCCACCAGTAACCACTGTACCATGCTGGAAAGGGAAGATGCTCATGATCCGGAAGTATGCCGTTATATATCGAACTCTTAAGGTTTGCAACAAAAGCTGATAGCTGCGATTTTGGAAGCTCATTAAAGTAAGTATATTCTAGATTTAGTACAATTACTGTGCTTAATGACACCGCATGAGAAAATACTAACTTATTATATCGTAATTAATATAAATGATGTTACCCGTGGTCTTTTATTTTGCATAAAGTACGGTGTACAATTGTACGTACTGTACGCCAGATTGTACTGTACTGCTTTGTACTAAACAAAAAAAATCGTATTTTTCTATACAAAATTGAATTGCACAGTACAACGTACATAGTACAATGCGCAACGTAAAATTTCACAAGGAATTTTTATATACGTTCCTGCAGTAAGTACTGCTGATCGAACGTCATCTGTTTTATGAACCGATGGTGGACGATTATTATTATAGAAATGAGTCACAGTGAATTACTATCGCTTTGAGTAAAGTCGCTAAAGTGCCCTGGGAGTTTAATTTAATCAAGTTTTGCAAAAATTTGTCCTTGGTCGCCCATTGTATCATGTATGTATCTCGTGCGGGAATGCCCAGAATGCCATTGCACAAACGTTTCACAGGCGATTAAACCTGCTTTGTGCATAAGACCAGTTGCGCACCAAAGCGAGCGATTAAAAGCCCTGCCAATGTCTGACTAGCGCGGAGTAAACGGCGATTGGGATGCATAAGGACGCTCACTTAATCACACATGCTATAACTCCAACGATCTGGCGTTTACTCAATTTCGTTGCCCATTGTATTGGCGGTTGATCTAATTTGCTTTGAGTAATTCAGTGCCGACGTGCTCGGTTTTCTTAGGGCAGGAAGGCCTGAAAACCTATTGGTCAGGTCATAATTTAGGCGAGAGAAACTCCTGAGAATCTGTGCGGTGCGCGCATCCCATTGGCTGATATAATAATTACATGATGTAAGTAGTCTGAACTCGTGCACCCCTTGAGTACATTCGTGCTATCCCATAAGTCGTGCAGTAACCAGAAGGGCGCTTGGATGGGATGATTCAAGGGTAATTTCCGGTGAATGGCACCACACACTGCGCACACCAATCGATCCACACTCGCACCAAAAAGCCGTATACTAAAAGTGAGACAGCGACATGACTTATTGTCCTTGGCGTGCGTAAGTCACTCGGTAAAAAGCAGGCCAACACCATGGGTCGCCCGCCACCCGTCGCGAGCTACGTCCTTTTGAACCGGCAGCCCGTTGACTCGTTAGTACTGACCACATGCTGCACTATTATTGGCGTTACGCTGTAAACCCGCGTTATTTTACGACACTCGCATTATTTCGCCGTCGGCGGTGCCATGGTTTGGGACTTGAGGACAAGGAGCAAGCGCGCTTCCCATGGTTAATTAGCCCACATAATAGGCGCAATGGCCACTTTTTTCTGGCCTTGGACCGCCTGCCCAGGGTCAAGAAGAATTGGAGAAAACATGTACCGGAAGTGAGGATCCCACATGCTATACTGAAAATAACACGAGCAGGGCGAAACAAGAGTAACTGTGCGCCTGACTCTGTCATCGTGACTACTGAAGAAAGCCAGCAAATTTCAACTATTCGCGATTTAATGTTTTCTTTCAGCTCTAAGAGCGGTTTCACTTCCCCTTTCGCGAGCGGAAATTTCTGATATACATATTTTATTTGCGTAACAGGTGAGCTATGCTTAATCATCCATGACGGAATTCCTTCCATATCACTGCACGTGGCGCAAATTTACGAGCAGTGTATGCCCGATAAAACTTGCAACAACCTTTCGTCTGCATCGGTAACCGAAATGAGCCGCCACAGCGCTTCCTTGTTTAGCCTATGTATTCTGCTTTATCTTTGGCCCATTCACGGCCAAGAATTGCACAACATCACCCCCGTCGCTCCCCCGACCAATGCATCGCTGGAGGTGCGGATTATTAGTGCGCAGATGCTGGAGCCCAGTATGTCGTTGGGGCTGGTGTTTATCGGTGCTGCCATGCATTTGGCCGTGCGACGCGCCAACGAGAAATATGCTCAAAGGGGACTGCGCTTTGTGGTGCGCCCCGTGGAGGGTATGTACAGCCAGTCCTGCCTGACGGCCGGCACCTACGGGGTTCCCAACGTCACGGATTACTACTACATGCACCATCTGGACCAGCACACGCCGGGAGTGTGCAACATATACTTCACACATTGTAAGCCCACGCGCAAAGTATACTTTGATGTGTTTCCCATTAGAAAAGCTTTCCCAGTGCGATTTTGCTAAGAAACACCGAACTGCATCTGACAGTTCTTCCATTGGGTTGTTACTTGAACAAAAACAGCTCACACGAATTGATTTTTTGCTACGTTTCGAGCATTTTTTACTACAGATAGAACAACACCTTGCCGAATTGTAGTAATTTCGTTCAGCTTTATCTGCAGTGGACTTTCTCGGCAGCTATCTATGCATAATATGCACTTACAAGCAACAACTTTTTGGTAATGGTGTGCACTGGTGCTGAAAAATTTGTGTAGCGCAAGCTTCTTATATTGAATTCGTGCAGTCACTAATCGCGTTTCCAATGCCGTAAAGCTCGAAGTATCGGTGGTCTGACACATGTAGAAATTGTTACTTTCGGACACATTTTGCTTTGCAGCTTGTACAGACTACTTCCAAATGCTATGTTTATCCAGCGGTAAGTATTCATGGCACACGATCAAAGTAAACTGAATATAACATTATTGCTGTTTTTCCCAGAATGGAATGCCTTCTTTTTCAACAAGTAAGTGACTTTCTCCTTTCGAGCGGCTGTTCACAATTCTACCATGTGACATATTTGTAGTGGCATCGCGACACTGCTGTCCTTTCCGCCGCGGTCCTTACCGGCGTACTCCATTAACCTAGCCGGCACTGAAATGAGTGTGGCGCGCACCCTATGGCGTATCATGGGAAACTTTAACTGGTCGCACGTGGCCTTCATCTTGGATACAAAATCACCCTCCATTTTCTACTCCACCATTCTAAACGCAGCCAAACGGCCTCCGCTGCGTGATGGGCACGTGGACCCATACGTCAGTATCACCACGTATCCCGTCCAGGCCAGTGACAACGCCTCCATTGTCACCGGTTTGCTGCGGGCCAAGGAGAGCAGCCGCGGTACGTTCACGCTGGGTACAATCTAGTACAATACGAACAATTTCAGCTCATTTCATTGACTGATTTCAACAACCTGTAGTTTCTTCGCAGTGATACTTACGCGTGACCGCATTGCTTTCTCATTGCAGTTTTCGTCCTTTTTGCAACAGCTTCCGTATCCTATCTGATAACGGTACGGTCATACACATATTACTGTTTACGGTACTTGTCTAAGAAGGTCGTGTAGCCTTCGATCATTTTAATTAAAGTTTGACACTGACAAACCAACATAAGGGGCTTAAAACTATGCGGCGTTGTGCTGCATTACTGCGCGTCTGCTTTAAAATGAGTATCTTTGATAGGAAGTTGCCAGCCGAGTAGGATTGACCAATGGGGAATACGTAAGCAGACGCTCATTATTTACCTTAAATTTTGATCCCTAAAATCATGGCTACTGTTAACATTGACAAAAAAAAACTAATAATCCACGGGCATTCCGGATCTTGCAGGTTTTTCTCAGTATCCAGCCTGTCCAAAATAGCTACTACGGCAAAGCGTCGCTCTTCAACAACCCTACGCCCTTGGTCAGTACCCCATTTACCTTTACCGATCGCATTATCGTGCTGGGAAATGCCTGCATCTGTTCAAAATTTAGGCAAAATCGGCACAATTATATTATACAACGTAAATTCTCGCAAACATTTACGCAGTCTGTAATATCATTCGTATTAGAAGGAACTATCAAAACGTCACAATAAAAATGCACATTCTGCAGATGTTGAACCTAACGCGAAACTTTATCTACATGACCTTTCATGAATCCGGCGGCACAGATTACAAACGGCAGATGAACAGCGATTTGCGGCAGCTGACGTATGACCTCTACAACGTCACCTACGAACCAGGATTCCAGGCAAGATGTGCGATGTCAGCTGTGCCCAGCGAACAATAAACTGGATAATACTGCCTCTTTTTAGCCATTGAGCAACCATCCGACTGGCAAGGCTTACACGTCCATTGAGCTGATTAGTCAAGTGCTGGCCGACAATATGGAAGATTACCAGAAAGGGACTACAGCACAGCGCGCTGCCTTCTGCACCGGCGACCACCTCGCTTCGCTCTTCTTCAATCAAACCTTCAAACTGCCGCAGGAGGAAGTGTCCATCGATGCTAGTGGCTTTTCCACCATGGATGTCGACATCTGGATGTTCGATTCGCAGACCAGGAATATGAGCGTAATTACCGTTCTCGTTTATGAACGCTTTTTATATACGTCGAGACTTTTCGCATTCTGGACATTTTTACAATACGGATTCACTTACGGGACAGCAGAAATATCGGTATTCTCCGCGTTTTTCTGCATGACAAAAATTTTCCAAATTGCTTAGGTGATAATCTGTTTTTATACAAGCTTGTACACGGGATTATTGAAAAATTTTCAAGTTTTCTAACGTGAAACAACACAGAGAATACCGTATCTATGGTGTCCGGTACGTGAGTTCATATTATGAAAGTATCTGGGATGCGAAAAACGGCGAAGTTTGCAAAGGTATACAATCACGTCAGATTATTGCAGGTAATTGCCGTGTATCGTGCCGTCAGTGGTAACTTCGAATGGCAGAACACTTCAGAGATAGATTGGCGGCCTCCACTGGATGTCCCCCTGTGCGGTTTCTCTGGAACGGAAGGACCTTGTCGACCCCAAGGTAAAACGGGGCAACGAAATTTTCATTACGCTTATTGATTTGATTAATTTAAAAAAAGTATCAAACGTAACTTGTGACGTAAGTACAAACTGAGTACTAAGGAGGACATTTATAAGAAAAACATCTCTTCGATGCTATTCTGCTCGGGATTGTACCCAAGACACATATCGCTTAGTAATGTTACCAATGTTCGACCGCAAATTAGTTAAATATGACCGATGCAGTCACTGGCACCAAAATTCATCATAACTTTTCTGCTTTTGCTCGGACACGTGAATCGTCTGTAGCACTGTGTCGTGCATTATGCAAGTCGACGCCATTTGGCCATAAAAGTTATCATGCACAGACAGCACAGTGCACTCGTTGCCAGTCACTTGCCACTGTCATTTCATAACGACACTGGCACTCTTTCTTTACAGGGGTCGTTTTTGCAAACATCGTTGCGCCGGTAGTAGTGGTGCTACTTATCGTATTTTGTGCAGCACTCTTTGGAGTCCGGTTAGTTTAACCGTTGGTAACCGTCGCGCTGCTTCCTTGCAGCCGGCTCTTTGTCTGCTGATTGTAATTTGTAAGAAAGGCAGTTCGTGCTTTAACAGGAGAAGACTGGGGCGCAACATCAGATCCGGCTATTGGTGGCTGCTCAGCGAAGAAGACTTGGATGCCGGTGTGGTGATGGGCGCGACTGAAGTAGTCAATCCCGTGTCATGGAGAAGCACAACAGTATGGATGACCACGATGGACGTCCAAGGAAGACCCAATCTGTCGCTGTTGAGGAAGCTCGTGCCCGATGCAACGGTTAGCACTTAGTGCATGGAAACGGCTAGAACGGCAAAGCCGTCTATTTTCTGTATAGTGCATACCAAAATGACAATGTGCCTGTTTTTACAGCATCCTAATGTCAACGCGCTGCTGGGTGTGGTCATTTTGCCGCATCGGGCTTTTATTCTCTCTGACTACTGCAAACGCGGGTCACTGCCGATGATCCTGGAAGTGATGAAGCTAGACCAGGACTTCCAGTTGTCAATGGCACGGGATCTAGCCAAGGTACGACCCAAGTCAAAAGTGACCTTTGGTCATCAGTAAAATAATGGCTACAATTTGCAGGGTCTGAACTACCTGCACAACAGCATCGGTCGACCGCATGGGCATTTACGTTCCGCCTGCTGCCTCATCGACGACCGCTTCACACTCCGCATCGGCCAGTTCGGGTTTGCTGCTATTAGCCACGCCTTATTCAAAGGCGTGGGTTTTTCTGCTCCCAAAAAAGCACAAGGCTTACCGGCTGACATGTACGCTGCTGGCCAGATCCTCTTGCTCATCGTTCATCAGCACACCACTAAGACCACCTCCCGACTGGCGGTCAAAGCAGCGTCGATTGAAGTGGAAGCCGCGGAAACGGATGCAGCCGGATACGACGCAGAAAGCCGTTTGGTACTGCTGGCTAACAGATGTCTCTACAGCAACGCCGCATTGCGACCAACCGCCAAACAGCTGTTAACCGGCATCGGGCGGTTGCGCGTTGCTGGTCAGTCGGCGTCGCGCAGTATAGTTGAGCGTATAATTCGCCGCTTCGAGGCTTATACGCAGGTTTTGGATGAAGCGGTGCGAATAAAGACCGTAGAACTACAGATGGAACGGAAGCGGTGTGATGATCTCCTTAGGGAACTGCTTCCCAGGTAGGCCACCATCGTAAAGCAGCGTTAAATTTGATTGTCAGCAAGCATTTTTCTTGAATTCCTGGGTTTCTTTGGTTTCTTAGGTTTCTTTTAATTTTTTAGGTGTCCTTGGTTTCTTGGGTTTTTCTGGTTACTTGGGTTTGTAAGTTTTTCAGACGTCTTTGATTTTAAAGTTCTCATCTTTCTTGACCTTTTTCCGCAGATCCGTGGTGGAGCAGCTCCGAAACCGGGAAGTAATGGTGGCAGAGTATTATCCCTGCGTCAGCGTCTTTTTCTCGGACCTCGATGGCTTCGTCACGTGGGCGAGCAGCGTGCTACCCGAAATGGTCATCGGCACGGTGACAACATTATTTTGCGCCTTTGACGGGGCTATCCAGGAGATGAACGTGTACAAAGTGGAGACGATCCGCGACAGCTACATGGTCAGCTTGCGCGTTGATCCCTTCGTTCACGTAAGATAGTATTTTTCAAAGCCGTTGCGTTGTAGACAGTTAGCGGCATCCCACCTCGGGGCGATCACCACCATGCTTCAGAGATCTGCCGGATGGCCGTTAAACTGATGAAAGTGTTCGAAGATATTGAAGCATCATCGAAGATGGATGGTCATTCAAGGGAAGAAAGAACTGCGGAGCCGGTTTCACTGCGACTGCGATGTGGTATCCACTCGGGTACGTTTACCAATTTATCCAACTGTACGAATTACAGCTGAAGTGATTTTCCATTGCGCTAACTATGATGCAGGTCCTTGTTGCGCCGGAGTAATCGGCATGCGCGTTCCGCGTTACTGTCTGTAAGTACAGTTTCGTTCTAAATCGGAACAGAATTGTCGGAGCAATGGAAAATCCTAGTGACCCTGGGTGCGGTTTTTCGAAGCCGATGACGTGCCTTAATTTTGGCAGGTTCGGCGACACAGTGAACGTCGCGGCCCGCATGAACAGTCACGGTGAGGGCGGCCGCATCCACCTCAGCCAAGCTACCCACGATCTGCTGGTTGGCAGTGACGCTGGACTCCGCTTCCGGCTGCAGGAAAGAGGAATGTTGTCCGTTAAGGTACGCACTCGGTTTTACTCAACAAGCCGCTTCTGCCAACATCGCGCTTACTTGCAGGGCAAAGGGGACATGCGCACATTCTGGCTCTCATCCTAACTCTCCTTACAGTCATCGGCACCGGAAACGATTTTCGGAAAACCCCTGAAATCAGTTACCATCCCGTTTCCCCATTGTGAATTGTGCTGCAGCCATGTTCTTATGCGCAGAAATAAAAACACGTTGATGAAATTTTGTTATGACGATTTTGTAGCCATCTAGCGCATTGCATGTAGCGCATTGTCTCCAGCTGGAGACGGTAGGACAATAAATTTTAGCTTGCAGTGGGTGTTGGTATTGCACGCAGTTACTCCTACATGAACACACCAGACAACAAAGGTGAGCTTGGAACTTAAATTCCTTTGGGAAACTATGCCGAACATGGCCGGGAACGACCCCGAAGACCACACAGATAGAGGACAAAACAAATTTTACACTGGCAGTTCAAATGACACAGATTAGCATTACAGGTTGCCGTATTTGTAATCTTCATTTCGGTCATCATGAATTCAACGTTAGAACTGTTCTAACGCAGCGCTGTTGCCTGTCTCCTATCTTTGTGCTGACGGTTACGTTACTGTCTTACTCGTCCACTCAGTGTTCGTCAGATGTCGTTCATCCTCCAGACCTCCACCTATCGATTTAATTTTGATTTTCTACCAAACCTTCTGCTATTAGTCTCTTACTATTAATCTGCTATCTACAAAACTATTTCTGTTCACCTGCTTGGGTAGCTCTGCCCGGCGTAAGTGGAGTTGTTGGAGTAGAAATCGCTAAGCGAGTGCTGCACACTGCTCCCCTGTTGCGAGCCACCAAACAGACTGAACCGTTCAAGCTGCTCTTGTTTTTGTGGATTTTAGACTCATTTTACCATGCCTAACCATAAGAACCCTCCAACAACCGCGGCTGCGGACTGGCGACGCAGCTCTCCTGGGATCAGCAACTTATTGCAACATGTTTTGGCCACGGGACAGATGGCTGATGTGCAGTTTGCCGTCGGGCGCGATCACGGCGACGTGAAGATCATTCGGGCTCACAAGTAAGGTTCCTGTAGACTTTAGCTCCTCTCGACTAATAAAAATGCATTGGCTCATAGCAACTGACTATAGGTTCATCCTCTGCCTGAATAGCGACGTGTTTGACGCCATGTTCAATGGAGGACTGCCTGAAACACGCGGGAAACCTATCGACATCATGGAGATTCTCCCAGATGCCTTCTCCATCATGCTTGAGTACTTCTTATTGTTTTGACTAGTGTTCCGCATTTGTGTCGTTGTGTGTAATCAGGACTTCGCAATAAACAAACCACGAGTGTCAGAAAAACGTTGAGAAACTTTTTTTGCAGGTACATGTACACTGGTTCCGTGAAGAGAACTCTGGCATTGGAGAACGTCTTCCACGTTATTTACTGCGCGGACAAGTACAATTTGCCGATACTCATGGATGTGTGCCTGCAGTTCGTTCGCAGCCTGTTGAAAGTCGACACTTGCTTGGCGTACTTGGAAATTGTGAGTTTCATGACAATTTTGACGTTTTCAACGTGGATCGGTCTTATCTCGTGGCGATGATTTTGATGTGTATTGTTTTGGCAGGTTAAACCGTTCGCACACGACAGCGTGCCTGCTTTCATGGAGAAGTGCCTGGAAATAGTGGACGCGTCAACGGAAACGGTTTTGCAGTCGGAGCAGTTCCTGCCGATCAGTCAAAACACACTGGAGATGGTGGTACAGCGGGATACTTTATCAGCGGATGAGTACTGTATCTACACGGCCGTGGAAAAGTATGACGATTTTCGTGACAGATCTATTGGTGTAGCGGATCCAACGGCCACGGCATAACGTCGAAAGTTGTGTGTATCTCAGGCGTTGGCTGTACTTGCAGATGGGCGGTGGAGGCATGTCGCCGGAATAACCTGAGGCCGTCAGGCAGTAACCGGCGCGAGATGCTGGGTTCGGTTGTGTTTCTGGTCCGTTTTCCGTTGCTCACCGATTCGCAACTGGTCAATGGCCCTGCCAAGGTAAACCACCGCCAGAACGGCGCTCACATTCGAAGCCTTTGGTATTTTAAATTTAATATGTAGTCCAACTATTTAAATTATTAGATTTTAATTAAAAATGAATTTAATTTAAAATAAATTACAATCCAACCCGGTACATGGTAACAAATTCGTGTACATGCACGAAACCTTTCACTTTCGCGCACTCCCAAACCCTTTTTTCTTTTGTTTTTTGACATTTTGTAGCCAGATAATTTGTTTACACAGGCGAGAAAACCGTTTGTGCGCGCAACATCCGGTTCGGGAGTTATGGCTGTTAGAAAATTCCCAAAAAAATAAATGCATTCAGGTGTACCAAAAGTCTCATTATGGACCGATCTCCTTCAAATTTCGCACGTAAATGCACATAACCACGAAGAACGTTTTTACACCGATCCACTGTTCTAGCATGTTTTTTAAATTTTAAAATGAATTTAAATTCCAGCCGTAACGCATGTTTGCTTTTTCAGAGTGAACTGCTCCTGGAAAGTGAACTACTGGCGATCTATCGATACAAGCATGCCATGACCAAACCACCGCTGGCCTTTTCGGGTGAGCCCCGAACGGGTTACGTAGTGACTTTCCGGATGAAAGAGCGTGTGTTTGTTCAGCCCGAGGATGAAAACTGGCTGGCGGGCGAGGTTAGCGGCACTGAAGGACATGGCGTTACTGCCCAGCTGGTGGGTAGAACGGTGACCATCGATGAGCCGAAACAGATTGTACGGGCGTTTGATATCCTGAAAAAGGGCCAACCGATTCTGGCTTTCCGGCGTGGCTGGGAGAAAGCCAAGTATTATTCAGCAGCGGCGGAACGCGATTCCCACATTGTTCGCATCGGAGACGAACAGATTACGGTGGGCTTTATTTATATCCGGATTAGTCGCGATGACATGGCGGCTTGGAAAGCAACCCATGGCGGGTGACCTAACGAGCAGGCCTGCGAGCTGTGCTGACAACTGCGACGGGCAAAATTGCACGTTTGTAGGAAGACTATTTTGTTAAAGGGGTCTTAGTGGTTTATCGCGATGACCTTTCGAATCCTTTTATTTGCTGCATAATGTGGACGATTTCAGTTCTATAAAGATGAAAGAATGTAACTGATTGTTAGAATTCTTATGTTTGTATTACATGCCTCGGGGTGAACGTGTGCAAGGGCTCCTGTGCCTATGAAATTCATAGACAGAAGTATGGTTTTGTTTGTTGAATGAGCTTAATGTCTACAACAATCAGGGATGTCCTGCACGAGATCATAGACTAACGTGGGAGAAAAGGCTATCGCATCAGTGAAGCTTGACATATAAAACATCGCAAATGTAGAACCTAAGAAACCTAAACGGTAACGATCAACACGAAGTTGAAGGAAACGCCGCTCCATTTTAAATCCGCCCATTTAACCGTATCCAGGCAAGAGTCAAAACTGTAAATGCGGTTATATGATTCCTGGAGCAGTCTGATTTCATTCCATTTTTCCATGGGAAAGCTGTCACTCTGTCGGGCCGCTTTCCATCGCCTCTGTCTAAGCGAGGAAAGCGGCGCTTAAGAAACCTAAGAAACCTAAACGGTAACGATCAACACGAAGTTGAAGGAAACGCCGCTCCATTTTAAATCCGCCCATTTAACCGTATCCAGGCAAGAGTCAAAACTGTAAATGCGGTTATATGATTCCTGGAGCAGTCTGATTTCATTCCATTTTTCCATGGGAAAGCTGTCACTCTGTCGGGCCGCTTTCCATCGCCTCTGTCTCGAGCCCACCGGCTCGAGTGACGAAGGTACTTTTTCCGAACTCAGCGCCCGCTAAGTTGCTAACGGTGTGGACACTATACCTTCCTTTCACCATAATTCTACAGTACACACTACACAGTGTAACAGTGTATAACAGTTTATAATAACAGTGTATAATTTTACAGTATAACAGTGCATACAGTTATTAAACACAGTATTTAATACAGCGCAGCTGCGGCGGTACGTATTTCACACAACTCACGTGCTGGTTCTGCACGCAGTATTGTACTCTAGGAGAAATGCACACGATACTTAAGTACGAGTACTGATAGCAAGTATGTATAGCGTATCTGGGTATACTACAGTTAAATTTACCGCTGATTCGTTAACAGATGTGACGAGAGATAGGTCCGCAGGTGACTTCGGCGTGCGGTTTGTGGAGTTTGAAGTGTGCCGGCATGGCCGGAGGTGCCCGATTGCAGCTGAGGGTCTTACCTGTGGGTACAGGTCGCTCACTGCCGGCACCCTCCGCCGGTGCCCGGTTTCTTCGCCCCCAAACAAACCCTTTCTCCGTACAGGTTCGGTCCCGCGAGCGTGCTGGGCCGGATATACTGCTCAACGCAGTTGCTTTTCCATCTACCGGCGCGCTTGATTTGCTCCTTTGGCAGCGACTGCGCAGCGGCTTCTGTCGCCGCTCCGATGCGAAAACTGTGTGTGCTGAATCGGGCGCAGTCCGGTTGGTCGTGTAGCAGCGACTTTAGGATGCGGTCCACCGCAGCGCGCGTCAAATTTTGGCCGTCCTGGAATCGGAGGAACGGAGCATGGCTGTCCGCTTGCTTGGCCCTTTGCTGGTGAAAGGCCTTGACGGCTCGTAGAGGGCAAACCGACCGGTTAGTGGCGGTGAGCGTAATTGATGCTCCGTCGCTGCCTTGGTCGGTTTTTGTCCGTTTCAGGGAAATAACGACGGATCCTTCACCGATATGCACATCGCGCAGTAGGAGAGTGGAGGTCGCGTCGTACGTGTGCTTGGTTTTGGAGACGACTTCGCTGATGCGGAGGAAGCCAAAGAATGCCATGCAGAAGGCACACCACAGCATGACAGCTTCTTCGCTATCTCGGTGGATCGCCAGGCGAGTTTTCAGTGTCCGCATAAGGTTCAACGTGATCGGCAGTCGCTGGTCAGGTTTTGGTCCGTTCAGTCTCTTATAGCCGCTCACCGCGCGCACCACCAGGTCGTCGACGGTAGGGTTAAGCAGACCAGCCTCTCTATGGCTATTGTTGATGGCTGCTAGGTGATCTTTCATCGTTCGGAAGGCAGCATTCTCTTCAAACAGCTGTGCCACAGAGGCCGCAACTGTAGATGGTGCTGCTGGCAGTGCTTCCCAGCCGTTCAGTTGGCAGAACCTGTGGAAGCGGGTCAGCGTGGTCCCGAATGTTGTTCGCGAGGAACAGGAGATGTGGGCATGCAAGAGGCGGCGCAGCGTGGTGTTGACCGGTATGTGTCCTGCAGGCTCGGAAAGATGTCCGGGAACGGAGTTGGTTGTTCGCAGGCCCCGGGCGCCCATGACCGGAAACGCGCCATTTGAAAACGAGACAGTGCGTCAGCAATACCGTTGTCGACGCCTCGCACGTGTTTCAACGTCAGGGTAAGGTTGCTGTCAGCTGCCGCCCCCGTCATTCGCCGCATAAGATCGAGTACGCCTGGGCTGCTGGAGCGCAAGTGTGCCCATGCCTCCACAGCGCCGGCGTTGTCGGTGTGGAACACAACCTTTTTCCGTCGCAGTCTATGCCCCCAAACAATAACGGCGAGAAGGATCGGGACCATTTCCAGATATTCGATGGAAGGCTTCATCCGTAATAGCCAGTCCGGCCAGCATGCTTGGAACCATTCGCCGCTGTAGTATTCGCCCATTTCTAGTGTGGCGGACGCGTCCGTGTATAGATGCAGTACGTCGGAGGTCGTCCAGTCTGGATCCAGGAATGATGCCGAGCCGTTCCATTTGGGTAGAAATTTCCTCCACCATTCAAGGTCCAGGTGGAAATCCGTATCAAGGGGAATCCGAGTCTGCCCATGAAATTTGCTCAGGAGAGCAATCATTCGCCGGGTAAATAGTCGGCTGGACGGTACACATTTCGAGGCAAAAGTAAGCATTCCTATCAGACTCTGTAGGTCTGCCAGAGTACATGTTGCTCTTCCTTGCCAGTTTGTGAGGGCATCCAGGATGTCTTGCATTTTGCCTTCCGGGAGGCTGAGCGTCTGTGCCACCGCATCAATCTCGATCCCGAGGAATATGAGCCGAGTTGCGGGTTCTTCGGTTTTGTCCGTTGCCAACGGTACCCTAAGCTCGCTGCATACTTCGCGCATCGACTTCATTAAGGACTGACACTCTCTGCTTCCGGGACTGCCGACGAACAGGAAGTCATCCACGTAATGAAGTAGGGAGCGGATGTTTGCTCTTTGCTCCACGCACCAATGAATTGCGGCGGAGAAAAACTCGAATATGTATGGGGAGGAGCGGCAGCCGAACGGTAATACTACATCAAAGTAGTACTTACCGTTAACAGAATAGCCCAGGAGGTTCCAGTCAGCCCGTCGGACGGGGATGAGCCGGAAGGCGGACTTGATGTCCATTTTGCCCATAATCGCGCCAGTGCCTGCTACTGTGGCCAGCCGAACGGCATCGTCCACGGAGCAGTACTGCAGGGGAAGTTCACTGCCGTCAATATGGTCGTTGACACTTCGGCCTGCCGGCTGGGACAGATCCATGATGGTGCGGATGCCGCCGTCTTTTTTAGGCCGGCACCCGAGGGCGTTTACCACAAAGTTCGGGAGAGAAGGCAAGTCAAAGGGGCCTACGGAGTGGCCCAAGGCGACTTCTTTCTGGACGCTGATGACCAGAGCGTCGCGGTGAATGCGGGCTGAGTGGGAGTTCTTCGTGCGCCGAGGGATCTGGGGGCCTCGGTACTTGATGTCGGCGCCAAAACGAAGCGTTTCGGCCACGGAACGTCGGAGGAAGGCGTCTGGGTGTGTGGCGAGCAGTCTCTCAAAGGCCTCAGCACGCAACGGCGTCTGAGCCTTTGCAGGCACTGTCGCATGGTCAACGGCTTCCGTATTTGCACTGTGGTGACTTATGGTCCTTCTCGTGACAGCGCTCGCAGATGTAGAGGCGACCGGCACCGCAAGGCTCCGAGAAACTAGACCGGTTGTAGTTGCGGCAGACTTCGCCCCCCGCTGCTGGGGCGGGCCGAAAGGGCTGCTGATATCCCACCTGGCCTTTGCGCGGGTACGGGCACTGTGCGATGAAATGGCCTAGTTGTCCGCAGTTGCGGCATTTATCCGACGGGGCGGCAGTTTTCTTCGTTCCCGGCACCGCTGCACTTTCGCTTGTGGTTTCCTCCGGCGCCGCATTCTGGATGTAATCCGTGTAGGTGTCGTCGTGCTGGCGGGCCCACATGTCATACTCGAAGGGATGGATGGTCATAAGCGACCTGAACTGCCGGTCGTACTCCATCCAGTGGGCTGTGGGGACTCCCCGTTCGACATACGCCGCGATCAGGTGCAGGTATCTGCACAATGCAGTGGCCACCTGCGGGGTTTCCGTAATCCGATATGCCATAAACACGGAGAATGACTCGCTCCAGGACGAAAAAGAGTCGACCACTGCTCGTGTTTCATTCGGCTTCAGGACCACGCTGCCCTTTGACATCAGCAGCTTCGAGCCTCCGTGTTTCGGCTTTTCTACGCGGTTCTTTCGCAGAAGATCGTCGAAGTCCACGTAGCGCGATGGGTCTAGCAGGCGCCGTCGAACGGGACTATGGACCGAAACTAGGTGTTTCGCTCCATCGTAGGGCTGACCTCGCGACGTTGATGCTCCGTAATGGTCTCCCAGCCCGTGAACGCGTTTCGGGTGAGGGCCTAGGCGTTCGTGGACGGGGCGGCGACCCGGGGAGCGGCTACGAGAGGAAGACGAGTCTGTATGACTGTGACTCTTACCTTCTTTTCGATAACGTCGTCCGCGTCTGTGGCTCGCATCCCTTCGATGGACATTCCTTTCTCCGCTTGGCAGGCATTCAACTTGCAGCCCGGAGGCGACAGTCGCCGGTGAGATTGCTCGCGGTTCTCCGGGTCCCTTCGGTGCCAGCGGTGTAACGATGTCAATGAGATGCTGAATTTGTTGCTGCTGTTGATTCTGGCGTTCCATCATTTTCTTCCAGTCAGGTTGAAGCTGATCGACGACTACTACTTCGGAGCGGACTGCGGGAGATGCTGATCGGCGACGCTTACGACTGGGTCGTGGTTTTGGCTGCTGCGTGCTGCTGCCAGCTTCTTGGCCCGAACGAGTTCTTCTTGAATTGGGTTTACGGCCGCGCGTGGCACCTTTCTTCGCCCCAGCCATAGTAAAAGAAAACTCAAAAGTTTTATCAGTCGAAACGAGAACGAGAACTAGCGAGAACGAGAACACCTAATCGAAACGAGAACCAGCGAAAAACAGGATGCCGTTGAAAATGAAAATGCAAAGTGCAGAAAGCGACATCGAACGCAGTTGCGCTCGGCACACTGCGGTGCCGGTGAGTACAGGGAGTGGTACAGGGAACACGACCTCAGCGGTAATTTAATTTCCGCTAATTCTTAACTAACATATATATGCGGTGTTGGTTGTTTCAGCGATTGAAATCGAAGAGACCTCGAGCGATGAATCAGACAAGCTTGGTCAAATGTTTAGCTGAGCGAAACATTGACCGCAGTACATTGGCCAGATGTTGCTGACTCGTTGGGACGGGTGGCTACCGATCACTTCGGCCGTTTTCATTTCGGCCGCGCTCATTTCGGCCAATGTTTTCGGCCGCCATTCACTTCGGCCGCAGTTCACTTCGGCCGTCATTCAATTCGGCCGCAGTTCACTTCGGCCACAGTACATTTCGGCAGAAATACGGTTTACCAAAACTTTTAATCTCCAACGTGAAACTAGCTAAGTTCTCGTTATACGCGAAATTTTGATGTTTCCAGCTTCATTTTGCACGCAAAATTTTTTTGAGCAGTTTTTAAAGTGTTACTGTCACGGTGTCGCCATCATGTCTCCCTTTCCCGGTTGTACAGATTAACACCTCGTCGACCGTCATAATGCCGAATGCCGATGGTGCGAAGTCATGAAGTCTACTTTCATGGGAGAGTCTTGAAAACCTAACCGTACCTAAGCATAAATACGAAAACATAAGAAAATCAAATAAAACCTAAGAAATAACAAATCTAAGATTACCTGAGAAAACCTAAGAAACCTAAGAAAAATAAGGAACTTAAAAAAACCTACGAATCCTAAGAAACATAAGAATAACCTGAGAAACCTAAGAATACATAAGAAAACATAAGAAAAGCAAAGAAAACCTAAGAAACCTAAGAAACCATAACAAATCTAAGAAAACCTGAGAAACTAACAAGCCAAAACAAATCTAAGAAAACCTAAGAAACCATATTAAACCTAAAAACCCTAAGAAAATGTAAGAAAATCTAAGAAAAACCTACAAAACGTAGAACCCAAGAAAAGCTATGATGGCCGAAACGTCCATCTGCCGAAATGAGCGTTGGCCGAATTGAGTGTTGGCCGAAGTGAGCCACGGCCGAAATGAACGCCGACCGAAGTGAACCTGTGCGGCCGAAGTGATCGGACGCGGGGACGGCTATAAGTATTTTTTTTCCTCCGCGTTTTGACACAGCGCTAAACTTGTCAGTTGTCACAGCCTTGTGCTGACTATTTTGTTACCGACACATGATCGTCAGGTTTGTTTGTTTGTTTATCCTCCTTCATGTATAAGTTTGGTTACCGTAATACAAAGATAATTTCTCTTCAGCTTCTTTTATAGCTCTGTCCGACGTAAACAGAGTAAGAATAATTTGCAGAACGGGAGCTGAAAACCGCTCCCCTGTTGCGAACCAACAAGCAAACTATTGTTCCAGTAGACTCTCTTGTTGCAATTTTTTTGTGGATTTGACCATGCCCAAGAACGGTTCAACAACCGCGGCTGCCGACTGGCGGCGCAGCGTTCCTGGGATCAGCAATCTGTTGCACCATGCTTTGGAGACGGGACAGATGGCTGATGTGGAGTTCTCCGTCGGACGCGAGTACGGCGACGTGGTAATCTTTCCGGCTCACAAGTGAGGTTCCTCTAGGCTCCAGCTCCACCTCGAATAACGGCCATGCATTCGACTTTAGGTTCATCCTCAGCCTGAACAGCGACGTTTTTAACGCCATGTTCAATGGAGGGCTGCCCGAAACACGTGGGAAGTCTATCGACATCACGGAGGTTCTGCCGGATGCGTTTTCGATTATGCTCGTGTACTTGCTGTTGTGCTGTTTTGTCCATTCATATGAACGTTGTCCTGTTGTGTTGTTTTGTCCGCTTGTTACTGGTGTCCTCGTGTCTAAATTTGCCATCATGGCTTCCCACGACCACGAAACATGGCGCGAGTTCAAGAAAACAGTGATGATCTTTTTTTGCAGGTATATGTACACTGGTTCCGTGGAGGATAGTTTGCGAGTGGAGAACGTCTTCCACGTTATCTACTGCGCGGACAAGTATAATTTGCCGTTACTTATGGATTTGTGCCTGCAGTTTGTCCTCATCCAGCTGGAACCCGACACCTGCTTGGCGTACTTGGAAATTGTGAGGTTTACGGCAGTCTTCCAACGCTGAACAGTTTCAGCGCGTAGCGATGATCTTGATGCACACTGTTTTTGGCAGATTAAACCTTATCCACACGACAGCGTGCCTGCATTCATGGAGAAGTGCTTGGAGATAGCGGATGCGTTAACGGAAACGGTTTTGCGATCGGAGCAGTTTCTGCTGATTAGTCAAAATACACTGGAGATGGTGGTGCAGCGGGAAACCCTATCGGCGGATGAGAACAGCATCTATACGGCCGTGGAGAAGTATGTCGATACGAGCGACAGGTCTTTGAGTGTGGCGATCCGACGGGAACGGAAAAACGTCACAACTTGTATGTAACTCACTCATGTCGGTTCCACTGTATTTGCAGATGGGCGGTGGAAGCATGCCGCCGGAATAACCTGAGACCGTCCGGCAATAATCGGCGTCAGATGCTGGGCTCAGTTTTGTTCCTGGTCCGCTTCCCACTGCTCACCGATGCTCAGCTGGTCAACGGGCCTGCGAAGGTCAGTGCATGCCGAGGATGGCGAAACTATGTTCTCGCATTACGAAACTGCAGCACTTTCGCGTTTATGCATTCTGGACACAATACGGACTTGCGTACCGGACACCAGAGGCAGAATATTCTTGCACTGCCGGCCGTTGTGGTATACTCATGACTCCTATGTTGCGGTGTAACCATCGTTAAAAGAGTATGGAACATTCTCTGCGTTGTTCCACATGGGAAAACTTGATTTTTTAATTTCGTTAATCTCGTGTATATGCTTGTACAAAAACATTAATTATCACGTTTTCTCATGTGCCGCAGCACGGAGAATATCGGGGCTCTGGTGTTCGGTACGCGAATCCATTTTGTGAAAATGTCAGAAATGCGAAAAACTTCCGATTAGCCAAACTTCATTTGCAGAAGACCTGTATATTTTGCTGCTATAAAAATTGTTGCTAAATTTCAAAACTTGATGCCAGTTTTTGGTTTTGGTTTAATGAAATAAAAGGTACTCGTACCCATGCTAGGAAGTTAAGAAATGAAACCAGCTAAACATGCCGGTTTTACAGCCAGAGGCTTGACCACAAAGCTGCCGGCAAAATGCTATGATGTAATATTTTTCGCGAGTTTCTTCCTCAAAGTTCAATCTATGCACCTGTTGTTTTAAGAGTGAACTGCTTTCGGAAAGCGAACTACTGGCGCTCTATAAATACAAACATGCCATAGTGAAACCGCCGCTCGCCTTTCCGACCGAGCCCCGTACAGGTTGCGGGTGGACTTTGCAGTGCCATGAACGTGTTTTTGTTCAGCCTGAGGATGCAAACTGGCTGGCGGGTGAAGTTAGCGGCATCGAAGACGACGGTGTTACGGTCCAGCTGGTGGGAAGATCGGTGACCATAAACGAGCGAGATCAGATTGTGCGGGCGTCGGATATCCTGAAAAAGGGCCAAGCGATTCTTGCTTTTGATGGTGTCTGGAAGACAGCCAAGTATTACTCTATAGCGGCTGAACGCGATTCCCACGTTGTTCGAATCGGAGACCAAAAGGTTGCGGTGGGCTTCGTTTATATCCGGATTAGCCGCGATGAAATGGCTGCCCGGAAAGCAGCCCATGTCGGATAACATAACGATCTGGCCTACGTAGCTGTGCGGAAAACCGTTATGGGGAATACTGCACGTTTGTTGGAAGACTTCCGTTAAACGAGTTTTAGTGGTTCATCGCGATGAGCTTTTGAATCTTTTTACTTTCCGTATGATATACAAGATTTCAGTTCTATAAAGTTGATTGAATAACTGAATGGTTAAATACTTATGTTTGCATTATATACCACGGCTGTGCAAGGGTTCGTGTGCCTATGAAATATGGTTTATGAAAGAAAGGAGAGCTACGCTCAACAAAAAGGTTTTTTTCGGGTTCGGGTACGCTTTGGTGCATGTACTTCCGATATCGTTATATTATGTATTTCAAAAAAGCTCTTGATTTTAATCTTGTTCACAAAATTAACGAGATGCAAATCTGCGAATACTAAAAGCATCAGCTGAAAACTGCAACCATTTTTGAAACTTTCGAAACTGGTGTGATCCTCCATAGTTTTGTTGAAGAAGATTGGTAAGAAACTGTATCAGAACGAGCGAAAGTCGCTACACTTTTTTTTTGGTTGATCTGGAAGTAGTGCGAGCCGCGAGGTGATGCTGTGGGAGTGTTTTCTTAGGCACAGTCCCGTCTCATGCTAACTGGGAAGAGAATTAATAAAGAGAACTATGTAGATTGCTAGAGCAGTTGTTGCAGTTTCAGTAAGATACTGCAGTCTGCAACCCCCGTCAAGCGGCGATTTGCTTTGTCTGTCTTCACTCAAGCAAGCCCACTCGGCACAGGCCTAGACTCAGTCTCAGTCTCAGACCTAGAGTCAGCAATTTGAATCATTCGGACGTTAAAAAGAACTCATAACATTTTTCCTGTTGGCGACAGCTCATATTTAGCTGCGAAGTCCTCTTATTTTTCGAGATATTGACGGATCGTCCGTGTTTAGTGTTCACCTGTTGGGTACAACAGTGATTGCACGATATTTAGACTTTAGTGTTCGTTCCGTTGACTCTTGTTCTGGAGAACGGCTGTTACTGTGTCATTCAATCATGTCTCACATTCTTCCAGTATCTCCAGCTGTCGATTGGCGACGGACAGCCCGGGGCGTCAACAATCTGCTGAAACATGTTTTAGCCACTGGATACATGGCGGATGTGCAGTTCGCAGTCGGACGCGAACACGGCACAATCAAGATCTTTCAGGCACACAAGTAAGGCTTCCTGCAGGTGCCAGGTTCTAGTTCCACCACAAATATCTGAATTGGATGGCCTGTTGCTTTAGGTTCATCCTCAGCTTGAACAGCGACGTGTTTGACGCCATGTTCAATGGAGACTTTGCTGAAAGCCGTGAGAAGCCAGTTGAAGTCATTGAGATTTTGCCAGAAGCATTCTCTGTCATGCTTGGGTAAGCACTAAGCAGTCTGCCTGCCGTAATCCGCGGACTCAGCATTTCGCGGATAACATGCCACGGGTAGCAGAAAAATATAGATATTACGAACTTCCCCATTGCAGATACATGTATACTGGTTCCGCGCAGGATAGTTTGCGGATGGAGAACGTTTTTCAGACTATTTACTGCGCGGACAAGTACAATCTGCCTCTTCTTATGGACGAATGTCTGCAGTTCGTCGGCCGCCAGCTCACACAGGACAACTGTCTGGCGTCTCTGGAAAATGTTAGTTCATAACTTCGTAACTCTGCTTGGACGGTTGGAGCTGTATCTTGTAGTATGGCGTAGACTTGAAACAATGCTATGTTAAGACTGTATTGCCACATTTCTCCTATAATATCGTAACGGTATCCCCTGCCATCTTTTTTTATGTATACCGTAAAAATCGCGATCCTTCTTACGCAGACAACAGTGAACTTCAGTTACCATTCTGACTTTGCTTTGCTTAGTTTTGGTTTATTGGTTTCGCGATGTGACTGTTTATTTTATCTGGCCCGAACAGGTTAAGCATTTCGGACACGACACCATTGCTGCATTCATCGAAAGATGCTTGGAGTTTGTCGACATTTATACCGAAGCTGTCTTGCAGTCGGAGCAGTTCTGCGCGATTAGTCAAGAAACACTGAAGATGATTTTGGAACGGAATAAACTGTCGGCGGATGAGAACAGCATCTACACGGCCGTGGAAAAGTACTGCCGGTCTTACCTGCGATACTTCTTGATCTAGTGGAAAACTGTATTTGCGCGCTCTGGTTGCAGATGGGCTATCGAAGCATGCCACCAGAATAGCTTGATACCGTCCACCTGCAACCGGCGACAGATGCTCGGTGCAGCCTTATTTTGTGTCCGCTTCCCACTCCTCGCTGATTCTCAGCTGGTTAACGGACCTGCTAAGGTTGGTAAAGCGCCATTTCCCAGCCTTTGAGATTTGAGAAAGTTGTCTGCATTTTTCGAAATTTATTACCGCGTGTCGTCGTTTTCAGAGTCAGCTGCTTCTGGAAAGTGAGCTACTAGCGATCTATAAATACAAGCATGCCGTAGTGAAACCCCCGCTTCCCTTTTCGACTGAGCCGCGGACAGGATGCCAATTTCCTGGTTTTCGGTGCAATGAGCAGGTGTTTGTTAAACGTGAAAATCGGAGCTGGATTATTGGTGAAATTGGAACTGGTACGACAGTAAAAGTGCGCGGTGGATCCATGACCATTAACTCGCCAGATCAGCTCGTGCGAGCGGCTGATATCCTGAAAAATGGCAAAGAGATTTTGGTTGTTTATAATGGTTGGTGGAACCATGCCAAGTATGTCTCGGGAGCGGCTGAAGGCGGTCGGCACGTCGTTCGCGTCGGAGACCGCAACATTGAGGTGGGCTTCGGTGATATCCAGATTTAACATATGGCTGTCTGGAAAACCGTCATGGCTGAAAGTGGGTAGGACCTGCTGCAAGCGCGTTCATCAGGAGAATTCTAACTGATTGAGTTGTAGTTGTAGAGCGAACTTGTTATGTCGGCAATCTTTGTTTGATTTATTTTAGCGAGCGTACGTATGCTGTGTTTTACCGTATCCTACACAGGTATGCAGATTTGTCTCCCTTTTGTTGCATACGAGAACTTTTGTAACATACGTAACTGAAGGAAGATTTAGCGTGAATGCATCTCGTACTACAGAATATGGTTTCTGATGGAAAACGGTTTCACTCGTTTTGACTATTATAGTGTTATTGCAACAATCTCCGAAACGAATCCAAGCCAGAGCGAAACAGAAAATCGGAGAAAGCACACTGGCCATGCGGTTAAAGAACGTTTTTGAGCGGATTCAAAAAGTTAATTCACAGATACTCAGTGTTAGCGGTGTTAGCTTTTTCAAGTTCGCTCTGAAAACTATTGATCTGTCTAAATAATCTCTTCTGTAATTTTTCGCTGCATTTTTTACCGACCAGACATTGAAGTCCTGTTAAACGGGTTGTCTGCTCCTGATACATGAATGAATGAATGAATGAATGAATCTTGCGTTATATGAAAGAAAATTAAAACACTGCTGAACACTCGGTGTCATACGGGTTCCGCTGTGCTTGACAGCGTTATTTTTGTCGATACAGTTGTAGTTGTAAAAGAGCATTAGTAACAGACATACTACACAATACTGTCCAGCAAATCCACTGCAGTACTACAATACTGCAGTGGATTTGCGGGGGGGTAAACCGGGGTAAACTGTTTACCCCGGTTTTTACGATGCACAGGCCACATGGTTTAAGTTAGTGTGTCGTCCGTTGCTTATCTCACCAGGGAAAATAGGGAGGCTCCCCCTTCAGAAAAAGCTGAGTTTTTGCAGAAAGGTATACCTACGTAGTGTTATTAAAAAAATAATTTCAGCTGCTGTAATCAAGATGGACGTGGCCAAGCGCAAATTAAAGAGTGACCACTACCACATGCTATTACAATACCAGCGCAGTATTTAGCCTTTGCCAACGCGGAATGATCAACTTTTACAATTTGACATTTTCTGATTTTTGTGTTTGCTAATTAGAAAAAGAAAATTTGTGCAAAAACACAGATAATAATAATGATATAATTTAAATAATAACAAAGAATGTGTGAATGATCTACGGGCCAGTCAATGCATGGTTTACTCTAATGTTTGCATTGCAATTGTCACTATTTACCGAAGCTCACAGTTTAGCCCAAGAAAGTCTGCGACAGAAAACGTTTTCCTTCAAAAATGTTTTTGCAGCCTAAATCTACTGCCGTAACAAGCATGCTCGTATTGTCTCGACAGGCCAGCAGCTGCATACTCAGTGTGCGACTTTAATTCTCAATCCAAGCATATTTTTTACTGCCGCTGCTAATTCGATAGTAAGCGGCATACCGCCTTGGTGCGACTACAATTATGCTGCAGAGGTGTGCCGGATAGGAGTCAACTGATAAAGGTGCTCAACGATACTGAACCGCTTTGAAAGAGGATGGTAAATCGCGATAGCTTGAAACTGCGGAGATGGTTCCTATGCGGTATCGGCTAAAACCTTTCTACGCTTGCACGATCTAACAGCCAAAGTCATGCCATTTCGCTCGTTGTGCTGCAGGTGCAGGAGTCATCGTTGTTACCCCTTAAAAAAACCTGTCAGCACTTGATTACGTGATGATTATTGTTTCTATATCAACCTTACATGGAATTAATAATAAACTATCACAGTATCAAGCTCTCTACCGTGATACTTGCGAAACAGCACAACGATTACCACCAACTCATCTGGTGGCCGATACGCAAATCCGTTTGTGAAAGTATCCGGAATGCGAAAATGTCGTGGTATACGTACTGACGTACACCAGAAATAATAACAAAATAATAATGGGAAGTTTATTGTGCTTGCACAAAGCGATCTCACTTTCTACCGGGTAGGCTTCAGATAGCAGACTGCAAAATGTGTTACAACAACAATGTCAAGTGTAAAAATACGAATAAACAGTGTCACGCTAATATTTTTTATATACGAAAGTTATACTGATGTTATGCAAAGCGAGCATCATTAGCACAGTAAAAGGCAAAGGAATAGGCAGACACTTTTAGCACGGTTGCGATAAATACATGCTGTTATGGAAAAGAGATGCAATCGCGCTAATTTAAGGCTACAGGAAAAACAATCAAAAGCCTGACTAAGTTCAGGCAGGCAGTTTGAACACTGGTGCACCCAAAGAGCGGTGTTTGTGCTCTCAGCCAGCAGGCATCTACTGGGCAATGGACGCTTTCCAAGCCGCCATCTGGTCGCGACTAATACGCAGGCGTGTAAACGAGGGCGCTGTTGTGATATACTTGTTACGGGTCCGATAGGTAACAAGATGCTGACTTTCTACAAAACCCTTGTACGAAACTTCCCTGTCGAAGCAGATAATCTTCTGGCCCTCCTTCAGAATATCGGCAGCACAGACGATCTTGCTCAGCGCATACTGTTGCACAGTGGCTCCACCATCATCCGACACCAGAGCGTCCGTATCATCCAGCATCATCCCGACGAAAGTCATGGGGTACCAGTAATTATCACGCTCATCAACGTCCACGAATACCTCAGCCTGTTCCTCCAATTCCTCCACGTTTCTCAAGGGCAGCGTGCGGGGTTTTCGGGGTTCCGTTGGAAATGAAATTTGTGGCTTACTGTCGGAATGCTTGTACTGGTAGATATCCCGCACTTCGGCATCCAGAAGCAAGCCACTCTGTAAAGAAATCAAAGTATTTCTCCTTTCCTGTTCGACACACTAGCACCTGGTTGCGCATGAAAGGATATTCTGTGACGGAAAAGAAATATTTGCATAAAAGCGACCATTATTCGTGAAAACATTACATTTTTCAGCCACAACGTACTTTTATGGGTCCATTGGCGAGTTGCGCATCGGTCATCAGCGGGAAACGGACGAGGAACAGCGCCGGTCCCAGCACCCCGCGACGGTTGGCCGGCGAAGGCTCCAAATGGTCCCGCACACAAGCGTCCACCGACCACCTATAATCGCACCAAAAAAGCTTATTTTGCAGCTTCTGACGGAAGCAAGAACAACCTACTTCTCCAGAGCCCTGTAGATGCTATTTTCCTCGGCGGACAACGTACTGCGCTGTAGGATCGTTATCAACGTATCTTGTCCGATATCACTGAACTGGTCCGACTGCAGAACATCCTTGCACTTGGCGTCGACCACTGCCAAGCACTTCTCCACGAAACCAGCCAAACAATCCAGCATCGAGTGTTTAGCCTGCTCAAAACAAGTGAACATTCGATATTTAAAAATTTTTCACCGATTGCGGAACTATCCCACCTTTTTCCAGAACACGAGGCAATTGTCGATGTTCAAGTGGCTGTTGATGAACTGCTGGCACAGTTCCATCAGCAACGGAAGATTGTACTTGTCAGCACAGTACATGGTCTCGAAGACGTTGTCCGCTGTTAGTTCTCCGCCCAGCGTACGCGTGTACAAAAATCTGAAAAAGTGATTTCTATAGTATTTTTACCTATTGTTTCGTTCCCCATGAAGCTGTTCACAAGTCTACACTCACGTGAGCATATTGGCGAAGGCCTCTGGCAGGATCTCCGGGATATCAATCGCACGGTCGCCACTTTCGGCCAAACCTCCGTTAAACATGGTGTGGAAGACATCACTGCCGAGGGACAACACAAACCTAAAGTGCAAAATCCTTTAGGATTTTCAGCCCACGTTGAGTGTCGCGAGGACTAACTTGTGAACCGAGAAAATCTTGGCTGGGCCATGCTGACGTCCAACGGCGAACCGCACATCGCTCATCTCCCCACTGGCTAAAATATATTTCAGCTGATCGACCATCCCAGGCAGGATGCTCCGCCATTCAGACGGTGATGCGCACGAACTTCCTGACATGATGAAATGGGCGCAAAGATATTTAGATCCAGTCGAAGTTTGGCGCGATTTGCTCTTAGTTCTCACTAAACAGAGGTTGCAGTCTGCGTGGAGATGATCAAATTAGCCCAATAACTGACAACAGGATAAGTACCCGAAAATTCGTAGTTAACGATTTTTCGGAAACAGTAGGATTTGCGGGATGATCTCACAGTCGTAAGAATATTACCACCGTTTTTGTGTCATTACCTAACTTATCAAGTATAAGTATTCCACCCAAAAACATGAAAAACTGTGGAAACATCAAAAATGCAGAAAATGTACAGTACGATTCATGGTGGACTCGTACTGAGTACTACTGACTCATGGTGGACTAGTCGCAAGTTGCTTTTCATGGCGCTGCCTCACCAGGCGGCTGCTGCTCTTCCGTCGAAAATATGATTGGCTTATTTGGCGGTGTTTGTGTAGCTGATGTGCGAGTAAATGGAAAATGGCGCGTAAATGGAAAAGTAAATGGAAAAAATATTATGAACAACAAATTCTCGTTTTTCTGCAAGGCGATACCTGTTGGTATTGTGCATTGTGCAAGCAGGCGCTCCACAATAAGCCTGAAATACGTATATTTCTTGTACTAGCGGTGGTTGCGAACCAGGAGCGCGAGCGCCAGTACCATTGGGAAATGGTATTGGGATTGTGGAATTGGAAAAGCGTGACGTACACTCTTCGTGGCGTCAGACAGATTTTATGCTCTTGACGAAGACTTTAATTTGCAGCACCTCGCAGGCTCGCGCTTCGCGCTCGGTGCAAATAAATGTAAGAGCGATTAAAACAGATTAAGACCCAGAAAAAACTCACAAGGTACGAATACAAAATTGTTTACTGTACGTACGCCAGTCAATGGGAGCGGAATCTTTGCAGCCATTTACTCTCCGTCTTCATTGCCCACAATTCGGCAGCCAATCATTTAACCGGCATTCCAAGATAGAGCTGCGGTGAATTAAATTAAACGGGCTTCCGGTAGCGTACTTTACATGCATCTTCCGGCAGCGTACTGTATAGTGCGCTGTACTGTGATGTACTGCATTTGTACGTCTTTCTCATTCCGCGTACCGACTTTAAGTGTGCGGATAGCACTGGCATTTAGTGTCAGCCAATCATAGCCATTGGCCACCCTTTCGCTTCGTTTTCCATTGGCCACCATTCTTTTCGCTTGAAAGCTTTAAACCCGCGGACAATACCGTACGGGCCGTACGGCACTAGCCGTACGGTACGGCTAGTGCATCCACAGATCAAAGTGTCGTGTTTTACGCTTTCCGAATTCCGACGTTAGCCTCCGTCGTCGGACTCAATCGGGTTTTTGTGACATAAACCTTTCTCCTGCTTGTCTGTACATTTCTCGGTGGTTCAATCTAGCGAAAGACGTAAGTGTAGTTTGTGGCGTACAGAGCGGGAGCTGAATGTGCATAATTATTTCTGTTTTGCAAACCGTTGAGCACTGCAGACACTATAAGGTATAATACTATTGGTTAGCGCATTCGATCATGTCTCAAACTGTCGCTACATCTGCGACTGCGACCACCGACTGGCGCGCACAGTGCCGGGGATCAACAATCTGCTGAAACATGCGCTGACCACGGGACAGATGGCCGATGTGGAGTTCGCGGTTGGATTTCTATTCTTAGACGCTGCGCAGTAATTCAGCCATACTCGCTACAAAAACATCTATCTGCCTTGATTTTTATTGCAGATACATGTATACCGGCTCCACACAGGATAGTTTGCGGGTGGGGAACGTTTGGCAAACGATTTACTGCGCGGATAAGTACAATTTGCCGATGCTCATGGATATGTGCCTGCAGTTCATTCGCAGCCAGCTGAAAGACGACAACTGCTTGGCGTACTTGGAAAACGTCAGTTTCACAACATTAGCAGTAAATAGTGACGATTATTGATGACTATCGTTGTGGTCGGCAACAGGTGAAGCTTTTCGCGCACGGCTGCGTTGCCGCTTTCGTGGAGAAGTGCTTGGAGACGGTTGACGCGTCAACTACGGCTATCCTGCAGTCAAAGCAGTTCTTGGCAATTCGTCAAGATACGCTGGTGATGCTGCTGCAGCGTAACAGTTTGTCGGCAGAAGAGAACACCATCTACACGGCCGTGGAGAAGTACACCGGTTTTACTGTCAGTTCACTAAGTACTAATTCAGCCGAAAGCTGTGTGCTCGTTGTGTTATCAAGTGGTCTGCGGAGGCATGCCGCAAGAATAATCTGGAGCCATCGGACGATAACCGTCGTCAAATGCTGGGCGCCGCCTTGTTTCTTGTCCGTTTTCCTTTGCTGACTGATTCTGAACTGGTCAACGGTCCTGCTAAGGTTCGTACGTTTAAAGCCTCTGTCAATCTCTTTTGAGATTTTCTGCAGTGTTCATTTCATGTTCCAGAGTGGACTGCTATTGGACAGTGAGCTACTGGCGATTTACAAGTACAAAAACGCCGTAACCAAACCACCGCTGGTTTTTCCCGCTGATTATCGGACGGGCTGTGGATTTGCTGGTTTCCGGTTCAAGGAGCGGGTATTTGTCGAATCCTGTAATGATGACTGGGTAGCCGGAGAGATTGAGTGTAGACACGAAGGTGGTGTTCTTGTCAACATTCGTCGAGGAACGACTTTTATAAGCGCGCCCGATAAGATCGTCCGGGCGTCGAATATCCTGAAAAAAGACCAGCCAGTCCTTTGGTGGTGGAGAAATCAATGGAACAATGGTAAGTATTGCTCATAGTATGAACTTCATAGCATTGTAGAGATCGAATTAAAATCACCCGAAGCGATGATACCAGCATCAAAGCCCTCTCCGAAATAACGATTCCACTCGAAACCGTGATGGAGACCAGTAGCGCTGGGTGACTAAGTGCCAAACACGGTAAATATGCAGTGCTAAATACAATCTCGATGGCAACTGTAAAATACATCGGCTGGTGCGTTTTGGGAGACCATATCTGTTGATACTCGTTGCCACATCAGCGAATGGATCATTCATCTACATCGAACACGCGATAGTCCTAGCTGTACAATCGAAACCGAGAAAAACCAGACCAAAACGCAAATTTTATGGCAGTAAATAAAAACGGGGTACGTGCAACTGTGCAAACATCGAAGATCTTGAGTATCGGATCTCATAATTAATAAAGAATTAAATGCGTCAGTGCGGAAAATCCATTGCAGTCCGCATCGCTCAGCCATCGCTTTCTTGAGTTCCACCATTCGTTATTGTCGCGCAACATGTGGATCATTTCCATCTGGCCATCTGGGCGCGACTAATCATAAGGCCATTGAACGGATAACACTTAAAAACGGGTTGTCTAACTTCATAATCCTAAACAGGATAGGTTCCACCAGAGCACAGACAGACCACATGCTCGGCATTTGTGCGACGGCTATAGAAAACTTCCCGATTACGATAGATCTCAGAAACCAAAACTTTTTGACCTTTTGTCAGGATTTCCGAGGCCCGAACAATTTTCTCGGCCTTACAACAATCCGTCGTTTTCCCGCCATCCAGCGTAACATAAAATCCACCGTTACCATGATCATATTTCCCCATAACTTCTGCCGGCCACCAATACTCGCTGCGAGGCTCAATGTCAACGAAGACTTCTTCCTTGAACGTGAATTTAACACCACCGTTGGTGACGCACAGCACCGCGCCCTCTCGGGGTTCCGCCGGAAAGGGAAGCTGGCATGCGTCGTTGCAGTGCTTGAAGCGATAAATGTCCCGCAGCTCGGCATCCAAAAGTAAACCACTCTAATGCTAGATCCAACTGTGATCCAGATACGGAGACCTAAACGGAATAGATCCCGTGGAAGTGAGCAATGCGATCTGGATTGCGAACTACGCGAAATCACGAAACGTCGCACCGCTAATTGCTGACTTTTAATAAATTGAAAATTCCGACAACCGAAAATCAATAATGATCGGCGCAGCTGGATCGTAAAGCGTGGAGCCCATTCAACAGTGTGTAACACTGTGCAGCACGTGCTATGCCGCGCCCACTAACACAACTCAAGCCAATCAGAAGGGACACAACACAGACACGTAATCCTAAGGCGTAGCGCCACAGGCGTAGCGCCACTGACGTGAACGCTAGTGATCCCGGTCTCACATGCCTCTGGGGGGATGCCGAGCTCCTGTGAGGCTGGACACACTCCCGAATCCACGAGAAGACGACGGTCGCCGGTGTCTGTGTGTGCTCAAAAACATCAAATTCTCTTAATCCATTTTATCACATCAATTACATAAAGGCACAATTTCATTTAATACGATGTGAATAAAGAGATCCAATTATAAAAATACTATCAAATCATTAGGAACAGATCAACAATAACAGATCAACAAAAGTATTAATCAAATTGTAGACTAGGATCCTCCATTTCTGACTCGCAAAGGTCACAGGTCCTGTCCACCGTTTTCTGCACTTTGGCCCATTCCGCTCTGTTGAGCAAGTCCGCGCATCCGTAGTGCGACTTTTCATCACAATCCGCTTGAGAATCAGGTGCGTATCAAGTACGACTTAGGAATACTGCTTCAATCTTTGGAATATGGTGCGTATCATTCGTACGACTTCAAAATGAGATCCAATAAAGGTCATGGAGGGACGTCAATGAAGACAAGCGTAGTTCGCTTCCTCCCTAATAAAGGTCATCCTTTGTTGAGATGATCCGTTGAGATGTGCGACTCGTTTTGGGTTAATGATCCCAAAGGTCATGCGACTTGAATTCCGATACGGTGACTCTGTTGGGCAATTGATGATCCCAAAGGTCATCCCACTCGTCAAAACTTCTGTTAAAGGTCATGGAGGAACTTAGCCGATTTTCTGCGGCTTCAAGCACTTCCTTGCTTGCCTCCCTGGTAAAATTTGCAGTTTGACCTTTCCGTCGCACATCCAACTTCAATATGCCTCGAGCGGCCAGAGTGCCGGCAAGTTTACCGTAGCATCTCTGATGGGGCCGGCTAATTACCGGATTGAGTTTACCCCATGAAATTTCCACCTTAAATCTTTGATGACTCTTGTTCGCCGCTTGTGGCTTACGTTAGTACGAGAAATCCGGCTTGATTACCGTAGTTTTTCTCGTTTTAATTATAACACTGAATCGCTTGAAAAGAGTGCCGGCATAGTTTACCGTAACAACTCTAATGAGGCCGGCTAATTGCCGCATTAAGTTAACCTCATCAATATTCCACCTGTTGTCTTTCTCTTTTTCGCCGCTTGTGGCCCCGTTTCGTGTTCAAGAGATCCGGCTTGATTACCGTCGTCTCTCTTGTGCATTTATAACACTGAGTCGCTTAGAGAGGAGGGCCGGCTAACTGCCGTAGCAACTCCCTTGGGGCCGGCTTTATAGACCGAATCAATTTCAACCCCAATAGATATTCCACATGATTTCTTTTAGGCAATTCTGTGCTATAAACGCTGCAAACAACAAATACACAATTACAGTTAATGTTAACATGTCACGTGTCACGCCCTTTATACAACACCATTTTCATTTTTGTGACGTACCGACAATTGCCGTAGACGTCCTTTTAATAGTGTGATCCTAACGATCAGCACTATTCCATTTCATTTGAATCGCCCTCGCCATCTCTCGGCGGGCGTTTCTTAGCGCTTTCCGGTTGGTTTCGATCGGAAGTTCGGTCAACTGGTTCCGTCGAGTCAACTTCCATGACCTTTGTCGGGTCAACTCCGCGCTGGCCACGACCTTTGCCTTGGCGACTTCGCTTAACCGCCTCAAGTCGATGGCGTGCGTCATTTTCTTCGAGTCGCAGTCTTCGGTTATCAGGGTCTTCCGCCAATCGACGCTGCACGTCGGCGAGATTATCCCGCAGCTGTTGGTTTCGGATACCGCGTCGTCCCATCTGGTTAGGCGCACGGTCTGGACGACGGTCACTTTTCTTCACTAAGAATTCATCAATGTAAGTTTCGATTCCGTCCACCGGTTCGACGTAGTCGCTTCCCAGAGAATCTTTAATCTTATTAATCCTTTCTTCTACTTGGGATGCGTGGCGCTGTGTCAAGTTGCCCTTTGTGTCCGTGTCTTATCATTTCTTCAGCGCCTTCCGAGCCGTATGCGCTATGCTGATATGTTCCATCGGTTGTCCCAACTTGGCGACATGAGCTCGGAAGAACGGTGGAATGTCGTCCTTCATGGTATTAGACACTAATTGATTCTGTGTCTTGTAATGTGCCAGTCTCGCAGCAAAGACCTTTTGCCCCATCCTTTTTGCGGCATAGTCCTTAGGATCCACCTGTAGTCCTATCGATGCCCTTGCTGCAAGCAACTTGAAGGCTGGATTCACATGTCGTAAAACAAACTGAGCCACGTATTCTTGGCGTTCGGGATAGTCTCTGTAATAGAACTGTGTCATCCCGATTGGGTCAGTTGTGTCCAGCGGTACATCCAATAAACTTAAATCCACCAAACTGTGTAGCCCATTCCGTCGGATAGGGAGATAACAGTCCCGTACTGAATCGCGGTGGATGAATAATCGACGAAAAGTTCCTTGTTCCACTCCCTGTTTAATCTCTCTCGCATAACCTGAGTCGAGTAGGAATTGGCTCAACTGTCTCAGAATTGTGAGGATCTTGTTAGCTTCGACCGAATCCGATTCAATACCAAAGTATCGGCAAATTTCGACCATTTGCTCATCGATATCAGTCGTGTTGTATTCCATATCAATACTTTCAGGACGTCGGTTGTCAAATCTGGAGTTCTGTCGCTGATCAGCCTGGCGATGATTATCCGGTTCTCGTTGACCTTCCAGTTCACGTTGTTCTCCTGACTCAGGCTGCGACGGTTCGTTACTCGCCGGTTGTTCCGGTTGGAGGTCACTATCCAGAATTACATTTCGTCGATACGTCACGTTCTCTTGAGACGTTTCCGCAATCGAGCTGGTTCCTTCCATCGCATCGTCTTCTTGTACGACACTCACAATTGGATCCACGACGTGAACCATTGACTCTACCCGCTGATACTTTGGAGGTGAATCTTCCCGTTCAGTGCTTGATGACCTTTTACTTGCGCCCGAGTCAAAGGTCGCATAAAATGCGGCTCTCTGTTGCCATCTCTTATCCTGTGGGTCAGGCGTTCGATTTCGCGTATGTTCACGTCTTTTATCCCATGACCTTTCGGGTGTTGACATCCTGACATTGCGGTTCCGGAATGCAACTCCCATCGGCACCTGATGCCCTTGTTTTTCAGGCTCTGCACGGAACGTCTCCGCACGCCGTTTTTGAATACTCATTTCCGTAACTTCGTCTCCATGGCGCACCCATCCTCTTCCGCCACGGTAATCTCTATCATGAGAACGTTCGCGTGACCTTTCGTTGCGGTAGTCACGTGTCCTCTCACGAGAGTGTTCGCGTGACCTTTCCCTCTGTCGTTCAGAAGTTCGCTCATATTCTCGTGAATGTCCGCGTGACCTTTCTCTATGCGGGGGCGAACGTGGTCGTATAAAACCTTCGTCCCGTTTAAAATTCCTGAATGCCTGCAGCACATCGCTTTCGGTTCGGCGAGATTTACGTAGGTCATCCATACGTCTTTCGACTTCCTTCTTTATGTAGGGTGCCGGCGCGAACCCGTCTTGAAGTCGTTTCTTCTCCCGCAACAGCATTTTGAATACCTCGTCTGACATGGCAGCTGGATCTTTCGTTATCGTTTCAATTTGTATGATAAGTGATTGTCGTACAAGTTGCATTTCGTCTTCGTTAAGGCTGGCCATGCCCGTAGGTGCAACTAAACTCGATGTGCTGGGCAGCCCCTCTCGTGCAGCCTGTTCACTTGCTCTCTTATTTTCCGCATTAATTTTCGCGCGGATTTCGTCTTCCATTTGCTGAGCTCGCATCTTCGCTTGGTCTTCTTCAAATTTCTTCCGATACGCGTCTGTCTGTGGACACTTCAACGGCTCCAAGGTGTCATCCCAACCAGGTTCGTTGTTCCGGATCGCTTCCCGGTAGCGATCCTCGAGTAGCATTCGCTCTTCCACTGGGATGCTGCCGTAATTTCTTGCGCTTATGAGATTTCGAAAAACGTCCAAGTTCCCACGTTTCGCTTCCATGATCCCGACAAGGGTGACGGCATGCGGGTCTTCCAGCTTGTGAATACAAGTGTAGCAAGGGAATTTTTTATCAACCTTTTTGTTGTTCCGCAAACAGTCCGGACATTTCGGATTATAGCCCGTAAACTGATCGATGTCTGCCGCCGTTCCCGTACGTTTAGGAGTGGCTTGACCTTTCTGTGCCATTTTTCCGCTTCAATCTGTAATTATAAAACAATCCGTCATATTAACTTCTCCACGTTAATCCCTTCCATTTCCTATCCATATCAAGGCTTTTCTATCATTTTTACGCCTATTCCGTTACTGAGCTGAGACTTTCCTAGCTCCTGCTGCCTTTTCTATCGCTGTAACGTGGTGACCTTTCTCACGTTATCAGCACTTTCTGACTACTGTGACCTTTTCTATTAGTTCTAGTACTGCTTTCAGTTGACCTTTCGTAACACTTTTCGCTTTCGTTTTAAACTGTTTTATGCTTTTTCTGTAATATGCAGGGTTCATTACTCGCTGCATACTACACTCGATTAGTTCACTCGGATTCTTTCGTCGATGGTTTATACGGCTTGAAATCGATTCGGCCATCTGGCTGAATATGAAGCACTTCGTCCGAGATCAAGGCTTCAACGGCATTCTTAATCCACTCCTTATCGCTTTCAATATTCAACTCTCCCAATTCATAATTGACGGCCATGAAGTTCGAAAGGTCATTCCATGACGCTCCATTTGTACCGCCGATGGCGTCCAAAGCCACGTCTGTGATGGCTATCTTCCAGGCCTCCAATTCCATTTTCAATCTGGGCGTTCGTTCCTGACCCTGCTTCGGAAGGTAGTAAACGACTTTGTTATCCTTATTGTATTTACATCCCAGCTTTCCTTCTTTATATGCTCGTTTCAGAGCTCGTTCAGTCATGTTGAGTGACGACCTTCCGTTTGAATTTATTGCCACTTGTCTCTTCAGATCTGTACCAAGCATCTCTTTTTCTCGGATGATCTGGAGCGCGTTCTGGACTTCGTTCCATGTACGATTATTCACGTCCAATGCCGGCCCTAACATGTAATCTGTAGCCTCCTTAGCCGGTGTACCGCTACTTTTCTGGGAGGATGTCGAGTCCGTTGGGTCAGCCGTCGCTGTCTCGTCGATCCTCAGCTTTGCCAGTGATCCTGATGATGACCCCGCCGATTTTGGTTCGGCTGTCTTCTTCTCCTCCTGTGGCAAAGTCTCTTGACCTTTTAAATCGCCGACCGACTTCGATCGTTCCTTCTCAAAGACGTCCTTTAATGGTATGAACAGTGATTTGTGAAACACCTGGCGCGCCGAATCCGCTTCAGCTTCTGCCGCTGCCTTATCCATCGGGAGCATGACCTTTTCTTTCTCCCGTTTATCTGACGTCTCATGACCTTTCGGTTGATCTTCTGCGGTAGTTCCAGATGTTTCTTGACCTTTCGACTGTTCACCTTTTTCTGTCGCAGGTCTAGAAGGAGCCGTTGTTGTAGTATCGTCATCACTTCCCGATTCCGAGTCCATTGGGCCTTTTGTCTTCGATGAAACTGTGACCTTTTCCATATCCTGACTGTCGGACATATTACAGTGGATCTGTCTTTCCGGTGGTATTAGACCGACTCTCGTGTATCGGATCGGGTGTCCTTTATGTGCGTTTGTCGTGGCAAGGACGTTCTGTTTAATCAACTTTGGCAATACGCGCTCGGTTGCCGTGTCGATCTCCTTTATCATTCCATTTCCGTCGTTCCAAACTGCGTTGATATATTGGCTAATCCGATGGCTTGTTGATCCTAACGGGCTTGTCATCCCTGCGATTGCCCTTTCTACTCGCATTGGGACCGCTTCATTCGGAGTTGTCAGCGCTTTATCCGAACTGGCTGGTCTGAACAACTTGGCCTCGTACGAGAAACCCGGGTGCCTCTGTATAAGTTTTCCTGCGTTCCGCGCGAATTCCAATACGACGTCGAATTTTTGTTTGGTGAAGCTACGATGTTGTTTCTTCAAATACGTCTTCAGGCCTGCTTTAAATTTGGATGTCACCGATGCTGTTCTTATTCGTGTGAAATTCTTTTCAGCTCCGTTATAGGCCCTGATTACTTCATCGACCGTGTCCAAATTATCATCATCGGGACCATCAAATTCTTCGTCTGAGGTGAAGTCCAGTTCACTCTCTCCATCTGGTTCAGTGTAATTAACCGTCGCTAATGCATCGATTTTCGTGACTGTCTTGCCCTTCCCTTTGGTCTTAACGGGTTCGCTCTTTGCTTTTTTCCCTTTTTCCAGAGCTTCCGCTAGGCTTCTTGGTTCAGTGGTTCTTGATCGTGTCGTTTTCGAGTCCGTATGTGACCTTGCACTGACCGTCGAAGTGCTTGGAAGGCTCACTTCCGATGCCTCCGATTCACGCGACGTCTCCCGTTTCGCTTTTTCACGAATCTGTTTGTCCTTGCGCTCCTTTGGCGTGGATGCGGAAATGACAATGGGGACAGCTTGTTTCACCGCTATGACCTTTCCTTTGAGTTTTGATGGCTCTGCTGTAGCCGATTGAATAACTTTCTTTGACTTCGTAGGTGTCGATGACCTTTCTTCAACTTCGCCAACTGACTCGTCCAATATCTCGACATCATGCGACGCTGGTTCATCTCTTTTCTTCTTCCCGGTGCTTGTGCTATCGCTTTCGTCACCGCTCTTCTTCTTCTTATCTTCTTCCTCCCGTCGTTTCTTGAGAAAATCGCCTTTCTTAACCTTGTCACGGTTCATGGCCTCTTCCAATCTGGGCGCTTTTCTCGGTTTGACTTTTGAGGGTTTGACTTTTAAGGGCTTTTTATGTTTGTCGGCCGTTTCTTCGTCTGAGCCTTCTTCCTCAGGTGGGTCCTCGTCTTCCGACTCTGGTTCGTCGTCACCAGGTGGATTACAATAGTCACAGTTTGGTTCATCACACTGAAGGTGCTCATGACTTCCTTGGGCAATCTCGAGTACTCTTTGTAGCGAGCGTCTGGCCCCTCCTGTTTCAGTTACGTTTGCCGACGTGCCCTGCGCCTCTTCCGTCTCTCCGGCTCCGCCTTCTTGTGCCGGGGGATGAATTTCCAAGTGTCTTGTCTCTTTCGGAGATCCCTGTGAGGCGACCTCCCACAAAGGGTTCTTCTTAGCGTCGTAAAATACCGTTTTGTACGACCCGTCTTCCATTCGTCTTGTCAGTCGGAAATGTGCTCCATCGATCTCCGCTCGATGCCGCATCATGCTGATGAGTGTGCTCGCTTGAACCACGGCATCTTTTCGGTCGCTTTCAGGTATCAGATCCCATAGCTGGTCAATAGCTGCCTGATTCGCGTTTCGGGCGCTCTCTTCTGATACATCCCATGGGGCATATGGGACCGGGTCTCCTGTTATTGGGTCAACTATCACCGCAGTTATGGTTTCCGTAGCTTCTCCATTGTCAGCGAAAAGTCTGAGGGTGACCTTTCTGCTTGTCGCCTCTGTATATCTCAGGACCGACTCATAATCATCTGACGATCGTTTCTTCGGATCTGGATCCGCCGTCGGTTTTGAGCGAGTTCTCTCTTTGATCAACAGTTTGCCGTCCGTTGTGTATGTATATGCCAAGTGGTCATCATCTGTGCCCACTTTGATACGGATCCATGCATCTTCTTCGGTTGCAACTTTAGATACCACGTGCTTCATCATCTGAACGATAACTCTTGGGTTATGACGTTCTTCTGGAGGAATAAACTGTAGCGCCTCATTGACTATCGTTTTTGACTCTTTCCCAATGGCATCCTTGACTGACCTATCCGCGAGGGGATTATACGAGTCGATCTCTTTGTTCGTTTTCTTATCGACTATTCGTGCAGTGACCTTTCGTTCTTTATGATCTTCCCCAGTGTATTTGGCCGTGAAACTTCTACACTTCGGGAATCGAATCTGACCTTCTGTTCCTTTCGGCGTGGGTGGTACACTCTTTCTACCCACTGGAATCGGGGCCTGTGGCTTTGCCGGCTCAGCTGGTGTTGCTTTGCTTTCTGTGGGCTTCTTTGTTCGCTGCCCTTTCTTATCAGTTTCTTTTGGGCTTGTCGTCGGTGATCTCACTCTTTTCCACTCTTCGTGGTGCCACTGGATGGTTCTGTGACCGAACTAGTACGTCCACGTCCTGATCCTGCAACCGAGCTGGCCCGTGACCTTTCTGCTCGTTCCGTTAATACGGCATCAATCTTCTGCTTTGTGGCCAAAAGGTCCTCGTCCGTCATTTCATCAACCGGGGCATCTTTTTCAGCTCTGGGTTTAGATGGTCCCGCGACGCTGGTAGGATGCATCTGTCTTGTTTCCGGGAACACTTTAAGATACCTAAGGATCTTTTCGACGATCGAAGGCCATGGCCTACCATTTAGCGACGGGTGGTATTGCCACATCGACGCAACTTTTATCGCGTATTCCTGCGCTCTTTTTCAATCAGTTTTGTCTTTTCCTTCAGGGCGATATGACATGGTTTAATAACGGCTTCCAGGCTGATCAACTTTCCGTACCATGCGTGTTCGTCTTCAACTCGCATGTGAACTCGAATTCTATAAAGTTCGCGGCATTTTCGATTAAATTCTCGGATAGCTTCAAATCGTTTTCCGTCAGTTTGTCCTCCTTATTCGGAATCATATTTAAGCTTGCGTCGTCCCTCTCAAATCCAAAGGAAGCTTCGGTGCGTATGCGTGTATTGAAGGTTCACCTGGAGGCGTAAGCCGTAAACCATCTGGTCCAGTCTCGTCCAAGTTTGGACCCAGTGACGGTAGAATGCCTCTCGGTCGCCTTCCTCCTCTGTGTGGCGAATTACGATGAGGGCGCTGCGCTCCAAGTTGCTGCGGTGTTCTCATGCGAGGCGCTCCGATATCCGACAGTGACAAGCCTCCCGTCTCCGGAAAAGGCGGTAATATCGGAGATGACCTTTGTGATCGTGGTGGGTTCCGCTGAATCCACCATGTCCCATAAATCGACTCGGTGTGGAGTCTGTTGCGGTGGCGGCATCAACATTCTTGCCGGTCCCATCATTACTTGTGGTGGTCCCATCGGTGGGGTATACGATCCTGGATACGGTTGATAAGGGGCGCCCGTTGTTTGTCCCGAATACTGGGTTCCGGCTGGTGAGCCGTGGTGCACCCAGTTAACCGTGTCCTGATAATTCGTCTGCTGTCCTGGGTCGTGGTACACGTAATATCCCTG